CGTATAATTATTATTATATATATAATTATATAAATAATTTATAAATATATATTTTTTATATATAAATAAAATTTAATAATTTATAATATATTTTTCCTATTAAATATTTAAAAAAAATTATTTTAATATTTCTCAATAATTTTTAATATTTTTTTTTTTTCAAAAAAAATAATTTTTCTTTATTCAAAATTAGATCGTATAATATTTTGGAATATCGTAATTCTAAATATATATAATATAACCGCATATAACCGCTCTAGATTTCAGGTTTTCTCTTATAAAAAAATGCAACGCCAGGAGAAAAATGTTCTTTTGACTAGCTGCTGCAATTCTTTCCCGTTAGATACCTAGGATAGAGGTTTCATATAAATGCAGATCGTGTATCTGGCATTTTGATTTATTCCGACTTGAGCTACAATCCGCCGCGCAGGCCACGCGAAATGCAGATATTTGATCCGCGGCTGATGGTCATGATCGTAATAAGACGCAAAATGGGTACAAATTTTCTTCCTGCTGATGTCGATGTATGAATTTTTATATTCATTTATATTTTAATTATGGAAAGATTTGGCACATAGTTTCAATAAAAGCTGTCGCTCCTCCTCCAAGAGCTTTCAGGTACCCATTGGCGGATGATGACCCAATGCTACACCATGAACTGCTTGGTGGTTTCAACCAGAGGATCATCATCCCATTTCTATTGAACATAGAAATATTTGAAACCACCATGTACATCAAGTTACCCTCTGGAAAACTAACATAACTATGGAAAATCACCATTTTCAATGGGAAATTCCACTATAAATGGTCATTTTCAATAGCTATGTTAAATTACCAGAGGGTACATCAAACGGTTGGTCCTGCAGATTTGGCTTGGCTGGTACTGCTTCGGGTTCAGCAGGCAACTTTGTCTTGCTGGATGGCAAATATCTGCACGAAAGGAGGTGCTCCTTCCATTGTGAGACCTCAATTCTTCGGCTACATGCCCTGTACAGGTGACCTTCACGGCTATGAAAAAACGCTATAGCTATTTAAAACACCAGTTGAATTGGGATGATGATAACCCACTGGAACTTGTACACCATTTTCAAACAAACCCACTTGATTCCTGAAGGATATATGATGTAAGTATGGAATCTTGACAGTGTCACCTGGAGAGGTTGAAGATCACAGCCATCTGCAGCAAATCAGTGCTGTAATTGCTGCAGCCATCATGAAACCAGCCATCTTAGGTCATGTCCGACATGTCCCAACGTTCGCATTGTTCAACCTTACAAACCCCAAATGGAGGTTTCCTAAAATAGGGGTACATACCCCAATTCATCCAAGTCATTAGACTAATTTAGACCATGACTTAGTCTTGAAACAACCATGGTGACTTTGGGACCCCACACTTTAAGCATCCCCCAAATCACCCACAAGATCACCAAGCACTGCCAAGAACACAACTTCAGCCAGGTTGCTCCACTGATCATCTTGGCCAGCACATGCATGAGCCGCTCAGCAGCTTCCAAAGGATCAATAGGAGGTAAATCACCTGGTGGACGCAATGGGTCAATCATTATGTATCATCCATACACATAAATAATCTATCATTACATCATCTACCATCAACCGTTGTATAATCCGCCATCATCTTGTCATCTATCAGCAATCCACCATAATCTTGTCATCTATCATCCATTGACTCCAACTGCCATTGTATCATCTAATATGGATATGGGTCAATTTATTGGGCGGTATCCCAATCATCAGGTGGTGCATACTAAACTTTACCGCAATCATCAGATGGTATTTGCCCCATACCCATATGGCAGTGTGTCAAAACCAATAGTACCCCTGTAGTTCACATCAAAATAGCTGGGATTTATGGATGTTCATCCCCTAAAAATGGTATTAATTACCATATGGGGATGGGTCAATACCTATTATATTACCATATTTTGGGGAATAACCATCTATTCACCAGCTATTTTAGAATACCTAGGGTACCAGGGTTTTGACCCATCCCCATCTTACATCATCTCATCCACCCATGCCCCGGGCAGGAACCTGGATCCGGATCACTTGAAAGCGCCGGCGCACCCACCTGCAACACATGGACGATGCCAATCCCTGGGGATGATGAGGCTAGTTAAATAGTATCCATAGGTGATACACTATAGTTGCATAGCGAATTAGTATGACCCCCTTAAACAAAAAAACGGCAGGCGTTTTGAACAATGCTCACATGAAAGCTACATGAACACAAACAACAGAAATACTGCGGAAATTTGCAGTAAGTTTTTTTTGTCTATGCCATAAATCCAGTGCTAAGATAATTCTGCTGGCCATATGGTAGCCACAAATAGAGAAGCAAAATATTTTGTGAGAGACTACCTGTCCTCGGCAGCCGACCAGAGCTCGATGAATCAACATGTCTTGGCTCTACGATTTTGGGTTCATAGTTACTCACGGACCAATCACTTCTCATAGAGATGATCTCTGACAATAGATGACACATGACGTAAGAAACAACATCCATGGTTGAACCTCCTTGGAAGCAACAGCTTGAAAAACGCATCCTTTTGTGCCTCACGACGATGTTTCCAGAGACGTAGGGAATTCAAACTTTGCTCCAAAAGGGCATGATGCTGGCGCTCGAACCTGCAGGCAAAGGTCTGATGACAACATATATAATATGACAGCGCACTTTCTGTGGCCGACAAACTGATCTTTGTGTTGGCTCAAAATAAGTTCAGTTGAAAACATTGGGATTGAAATCCTGTGAAATCCATTGAACTCCTACATTCATCTAAATGCCATGATATGACATGACGAAAGGATACGAAAATATCCCGAAAAGCTGCCAGGATTGCTCCGTCTGGTCAGCCGGGTCGGCCCGCCTCGCATGTAGAACCAGGCCCTCGGAACGGAAGTTCTCCACACGCGAGACCAGCTGCGCCAAAAGGCGTTCCTCACCGCAGCTGTACGATCTCTCCGGAAGCACAGGGGGTGTGGTCGTTTTCATAGCGGACATATGGAAAAATACATGGAAATATGAGTGAAATATGGGTGAATTACTCATTTTGAAGACATATGAAGACATCATATCCAACACACATTCCGGACACTCTTCTTTTTCGGCAGGTGCTCCAATCAAAAACATGCCATGGTGACCTCCAAACGGGCCGCTGCGTCCTGCGTTCCAGGATGCGCCGCCATGGCCTTGCCGACGGCTCCGGTGGAGGCGCTTGTCAGCAAGCTGATCTTGTCGGAGACCACTTGAATGGCCTCGGTAGCCACGGGTCCCAACATGCAACCCATGAAGATCAGCTGCGAATAAGAAATATGGAATAAATATGGATAAATATGGTGATTATCCACTTGCTAAGTGGGAATACCTGGGATTTACATTAAGCTTTACAGTTTCGGTTCACTTTAGTTACTCAACAAAGATGCACAAAGCAATTGAGGAGGAAAACGGCGGTCTATGTGTATCACAATTTTTAGAAGAGGAACACTTTGAGATTTGATTCTCGCTGTTTGAAATCTGGATACATCTGGTATGGTATAGGTCTTGTCAAGACATCGCAAACAAATTGAACATCTCACTGTGTAGCCACGAAGAAACATCTTCAGCCAAGAGGCTCGGGCCAAGGTGCTCGCTTCATTCACAAAGCTTTCGAAACTTTCCAGCAAACTATCCAAGGACCTGCATGCCTGGCGAGTGTCAGGCCGTTCACCCCATTTCACATCAGAATACATCAGAATACATCAGAATACATCAGAATACATCAGAATACATCAGAATACATCAGAATACATCAGAATACATCAGAATACAACAACAACAACAACAACAACCACAACAACCACAACAACCACAACAACCACAACAACAACCACAACAACCACAACAACCACAACAACCACAACAACCACAACAACCACAACAACCAACAACAACAACAACAACAACAGACCACACAGTCTACCTCTGCAGTTTAATACATCTGCAGGAGCAGGAACCTTGAGAGTTGATTCAACTGGTCTAACACGTCCGGGTTCCAACTACTAATTTCAAACATCCGTTCGATTTTTTGAGTAGGCCCTTCTAGATATATAGCCCTTAGATAGAGAAATAATCGATAGACATATTAGAAATAGATAGGATAGGATAAGGATGGATAAGGCCGATAAGGATAAGGATCCTTTAGGATTAGGATAGGGTAGATAGGTAGATAGGTAGATGGATAGATGGATGGATAGACCGATAGATTGTACACATACATTTGCTCCAGGGTAACTGTCGACACTGGATACCCAAACATTTATATAGTGTGTAGGTTGGCACACCCCTAAAAATCACCAGTATATCCGGAGGGCTCTGCCTCTGGGAATGCTAAGACATACGGTACCATAGTCACCCAGAAGACCACCGACCACCAACAGCTTGCATCTATCTATCTATCTATATATATATACGGTATAAAAATAACTATCCGTTCATTATATAAGTGGTTACTTATGATATTGGATGATATTGGTATATTGCCATCATAAATACATATATAATATATACATATTATTTGTATATATATATATTATGACCTATCATCATCTATCCATCCATCTACCGATTTCGTTGCGGAGCCAGCTTGAGCCTTGCGCACACCTTCCCTGGTGGAGCTTTCAATATCTTCGCCGAGCCGTCCGGGTCGTCCGCCCAAGGAGAACCTTGGGCCCGTTGGAAAATGCCAGCAGTTGGAGGGCACTGATCTCAGTATTCTCAATAGTTACTGTATGATATAACAAATCTCAGTCATGAATCATGATATAAAAACATCATGCGGATCTCGTACGATTTGAGTTTCTGAATTTCAACCCATTGCGCCGGTACTGGTTGAGGTTTGAGATGTCATCGGAAGAATTTCGAAATACGTTAGTTTATACATGTTTATATATATATATATGCGCGGCTGGAAGGCCCATTGCAGCTGTATGAGCATAGATGGATGGGTCAGTTTTCGGATCTGGGCAAGATTTTTTGAATTTCCCAGAGTCCAAGAGTTTTCCCCTCTAGGACCTAGGATATTCAAATTCGAACAATAACGGGGTGAATTTCATTTTGGAAGTAAGCAACCAAACTGGGCCTGGGGAGAATACACTAGCAACATGGGAATAGTAAGCAAACAAACGTGTTCACAAACAATTAGCTGCTGATGCTGGGTGGTGTTTGAACCATCAGTCATTCCCAAGAGAAATCAGCGTGTTCCCATGTGTGCAGTCTGCCAGGGTTGTAAAGCTGGTACCAGAGACCGTGCTAGTGATTTTGAAGGTAAGTATGATCACGGCACTCTTTATTTCGATGTCCCCTTCATTCTGAGAACTTATTTCGAGGCGTGTGTTATTGTAACTGTATTGTCATGATTTGTACGAGTAGGTATTTTCATATCTATCTTTATCCTTAACTCAGCTTCTATGTAGGGAGCTATGACATATTGCATGTGGCCTCCATGTTCTGATATTCCCTCCCTTGAAGCTGCGTTGCTGATGCCGCTTGGGAGGCTTGGGAGGCTTGGCTGTGGCTTTCTCTTTTTTGCGGCGAGAACGTCCTGCCTGGCCCATTGCCAATATCTCAGAGCCAGGACAGCCATGGCATGGGCAGCCATTTTTTAGGGATAAACTGATAAACATGCGCATTAGTGGGGTCAGTAGGAATTGATTTGAGATGGGATTACAACTATCACTATCAACTACCCATGAGTAGGTACTGTTGGTTTATTCCCAATACAACTGGGTTTTATGGTACTGTAGATCTATCCTCTATCTGCAGTTGAATCGGCTTAAAAATTACTTTACTTCCTGTGATCCCCACCATGACATTTATACACTTTCTTACTGGCAAATCTTCTGGCATTCTATCTGACATATCTTCTGACATTCTATCTGGCACTCTATCTGGCATATGTTCTGGCATATCTTCTGGCATTCTATCTGGCAAATCTTCTGACATTCTATCTGGCATATGTTCTGGCAAATCTTCTGACATTCTATCTGGCAAATGTTCTGGCATATCTTCTGGCATTCTATCTGGCAAATCTTCTGACATTCTATCTGGCATATCTTCTGGCATTCTATCTGACATATCTTCTGGCATTCTATCTGGCAAATCTTCTGGCATTCTATCTGGCATATCATCTGGCATATCTTCTGGCATATTATCTGGCATTCTATCTGGCATATTATCTGGCAAATCTTCTGGGATTCTATCTGGCATATTTTGTGGCATTCTATCTGACATTTTATCTGGCATTCTATTTGGCATACCTTGTGGCATTCTATCTGGCATTCTATCTGACACATCTTCTGGCATATCTTCTGGCATATCTAGTTTGCAAGTAATATATAACATACTTGTCTGACATTCTTTCTAACTTTCTTCTGCACATTCTTTGTCCCATATCTTCCTACATGAGGTCCGGCAGGGAACACTTGGCGTGGATACTCGCGGTTGAGGTCCGGCAGGGAACACTGGGCGTGGATGGTCGTGGTTGAGGTCCGGCAGGGAACACTGGGCGGGATGGTCGTGGTTGAGGTCCGGCAGGGAACACTGGGCGTGGATGGTCGTGGTTGAGGTCCGGCAGGGAACACTGGGCGGGGATGGTCGTGGTTGAGGTCCGGCAGGGAACACTGGGCGTGGATGGTCGTGGTTGAGGTCCGGCAGGGCACACTGGGCGTGGATGGTCGTGGTTGAGGTCCGGCAGGGAACACTGAGCATGGATGGTCGTGGTTGAGGTCCGACAGAGAACACTGTGGATCGCGGGTCGCAGTTGGACGAGGAGGACGAGGAGGACGACGAGGAGGACGACGAGGAGGAGGACGACGAGGAGGAGGAGGAGAGGAGGACGAGGCAGGAGGAGGCGGAGGAGGAGCAGGAGGAGGAGGCAACTGACATAAAATCTAACAACCCTCACCTGGCAGGTGGGGAACTAACTTATTATAACTGGGGGTTTCTCTTTGCCCAGGTGTCCCCGGGGTCCATCACTAGACGGCGTTCGCAACTAACTAGCCATATACCCGGAACATGATGGGAAATCATATGCAACAATATGATTTCGGTTTGTTCCAGAATGGATCCGGACATCGATTTTACAGCAATGTTTCATGATGAATGTGATCAATCGGCAGCTTTGGGGCACCATTTTGGGACATGAAAAAGGCCTCCAGAGTCCATCCATACAAATTCCAAATGGCAAAACACTCTGGGCTGAAGGCGAGTGGTAGATGCAGCCATATACAGCCTTTACATCCTTTCGGCAGGTTCTTGTGGGAAAATATTGCCCTTCAAGCCATATCAATTATATCAATAAATAACACTGATTGAATAGATAAAATTGATTGATTTTGTGAATTTCCAGTTTGAAAGCAAACAAAACGCCGCAATCCCTTACCTCTACTCATCGAACCCCAGGTTTAGCATTTTATGTGTTCATTTTCAGGGTCGTTTGCGATGAATTTGATCAGTGTCTGGGATTGCCCACCATATTTCACTGCTAATTTTCTATTCTTGATGACACACACACACATAACACTTAGATCCCACCTCGTGTCATTCCATCGCCTACTTCATGGGAGTTTCATCAATCCCCAAAGATGACTTACCAATGACGACATCTTTGCGTCAGCCTCCGCGGAGGATGACGCATCTTTGGCCTCCGCGACAGTCATGAAGAAAGAAATGACCTTTGGACATATAGGATTTGTGTATCATATGATTATCATGGGATGATAACCATGATCTATAGAACTAATCTCACTTTACCATTTTGCTTTGGATTATAGATGGAGGTTTCCCAAAATGGGGATACCCCAAATCATCCAAGTCATGGATGACCATGACTTAGTATTGAAACCCATTGCGACTTGGGGATCCCCCATGACTTAGGAAACCTGCATGACTGGGATTTTCCAGGATGAATCAGGATGATATGTTCCATCCTGAAATAGTTGTGGGATATTATGAGGGAAATATCTTAGATGCTTTTGTCCTACGTAATATTGCACATATATATATATATATTCAATTCAAATATGTCTATATAGTTACTGTATATTTACTAATGCAGGTACGATGTGATATTGATATGCTACAATATGGTATCAAATGATATCCTATTATGATTCCATATAACGTGATATGACATGACCGGTCAAGCCGGATGCAGGAGGGATTGGGAATCAATTCCATGCTGCCAGAGGTCAAAGAGTTGCTCCACTAGGCACAAGGACAACCAAAGACTTGATATGTGGCATGCGGACTATATACACAAATATGTATGAGTGTCATATAACATTGTATTTGCGTTTGATTCCCAAAAGATCCCAAAAGGGTAGCGTAGTATCCATGAAAGATCATGAAAGCCACCAGTCCGGCACCTCGGACTTCGGCATTCAGCCCATGGATCCCATGGTGATGAGACTGCGCAGCTTCAAACTTGCCACATCAGTGTGGTTGTTTAGTCAGGATTGAAGCGATTTGAGACAAATGACGGCCAAAACTTAACTAATGAGCTCATGGAAATGTCGTACCATTTCATAGCATTTCCATGTTGAAACGCTGGTATCCATATCCGTTTTATCTTTTTTCTGGTTGTCCATGGCATCCTTGCAAATGCTACCTTTTTGGGAACGATATTGCGGTTTGATGAGGTTTGTGAATGGTGTCAACATGTTCCCCTCATTTACTTATTCCCAATAGTTTATTGAAATACCGATAAGCCGCCGATAAGTCATTGGTTTTTGTCTATTTTTGGCTGTTGAATGCGGATTACTTCAACATGCCTATGAGTATTTATGCGTTGTCCAAACTTCATTGGCCCTCAAATCACTGGATGCTTGTGGCTCCATTGGTGCATTGGACCCTATTCTTGACCCAGAAAAACTATCACCCCGCCCCATGCCATGGCATCCTCACCATCTCAAATGTTTCATTTTGACGCGCGCCGGCCGCTATGATGCACGACTTTGGTGCACCACTTAGGACCTCATGGGGAGTTCGGAACAGCTGCAAGACGCGGTTAGCAGCGAATGATGGGGCAACATATGTAATAACGGTATCATCTGCCAAGATTGTAGTTCTGTTACGAAATTAAAAAATCATACAACATACATCAACATATGCAACTGGCATCCACTCATGCCAAATAGCAATCATCTGAGGTTCTTCCAATTATCTTGCCGAATGATCTTCTTTCTACGTTGGTGCTGTGTAAATCATATAAATCACGTTGTAATATGCACCTGAACATCTGCAACTTGATACACAGGGATCTATATCCTTTGGTCAGCTGTTCTTCTAACTTCCCATTCCGAAACCCCAAAAAACCAGAGAACTCCCTGATTTCGTTGGAAAATCACCATGAGCATCGTCGTCCCCATCCCATTGGGCCTCTCAAGATGACCTGAGAAAACCACTGCTGCAGCGATGCCAAGAACCAAAAGGAGCATCGGAAGGCTGCCATCTGCTCCCCTGGCGCCATCGGCGGATCCATGGTCTGAACATCCCCTGACTATTCTCGTGCTTCAGAATTGGTTGAAGGAAGAATCTGCAGGGCACCCCTTTTTTTCGTTGCAGCTAAGAATCCAGGTTCCCTATGGTTCCCTGTAAGATTTTCCAATCTTTTCCACCAACCGGTCCATTGACAGCATGATTTCGCGCCATTTCCATACTCAGCCAGGGCGACAAGTCTGGCCCGGGAGCTGGAGCTGGTGCTTCCTCCTGGAAGATCAGCGACCAATGGCTCTGAAACATTCTGAAACTGGAGGATTTGCCGATTAAAAAAACCATTTTATCGCAACTTGATATTAATAAAAAAAACATGTTGATCAACACATTTGATGTTCGGTAACCTCAGACAGAGTCACATACTTGACAGCACAAACCAGAAAGATAATGCCTTCCTAAGGCAAATTTGACTGGTGGTTTCAACCATCTAAGACTATTAGTCAGTTGAGATTATCATGCCAGAGAGGGTAAGCAAAACATATAATTATAATGATATATAGTATATATTTAATGATACATATAATGATACATATATAATGATACATATACCCATACATATATTATCTATAATACATATTTGAAACCACCAATCAGAACGATTGGTGGGCTTACCATTTCTATGCTTTCAAGTTTGCTTCCAATCAACCCTCCAAGAACTCATGGCCTGCACAACCTCTTGTCTTGCTGGCTGTGGGTCCTGATGCTGCTTTGGGCAACACTTGAAAACCTATAGAGTCTAGGTCAGTCTTTGCAATGCGAAGCACGGTACACAAACATCTCAAGCAAAGTGTAGTTTCATTTGCATTCATTTACTTGTTATGTTTGTGTTTGAACATCTTTGAAATGTTCAAAGTGTCCCAAGAACCAGTCTCAGTATCCACAATGTTTTGGAACCCTTCAATCGTTAATCGTTGTGGTTCCACAACCAGTCCTTTGCAACCGGCACTGGTGGAGGCGTCACCGGCGCAGCCACCTTTGGATACAGGGAGTCCCCACTGCATCATTTAAACGATGATATATGAGCTATATGAATCTATATGATAGAAGATCTGGCCTACATGCAGCATCATTCAGAGTTATCCAAATAGGTCAAACATGGCTGAGTATTGACTTGATCGTTGATGATCAGTTGATATTTGATTTCAAGAGATCCCATCTTCTAGGTGGCAGTGAAAACTTCCTGATATCGATCCTGATATCTGCGACCTCATTTTTTTCAGCCCTGGCTTCAAACAGAAATCATTAAACACCTGGCCCACAGCACCACATAAACGAATGACCTGGATTTGGTGAAGGAGCATCCAGAGGACTAAACCACATTCCTAGTTGATTGGTGGCTTGAAAAAAGGGATAGCACACAAATCCGCAGCAAATCCTGCAGCAAATCCGGGACAATGGGGTGTTGAATTCTCATGAATTCCCAACCACCAAATTCTCCATGTATGTCATTAAGAGTATAGTGTATGTGTTTGCATATATCATATATATATATATATCATATGTATATATATATATATCATATGTATGTATATATATATGTAATTATATACATATATATATATACACATGTATAATGTATATATATATAATATGATATTTAGCATGGACTTTCCAGCATTTCATCAAAAAAATCAACGGTTCATACAGACCATCTTCCTCGCGCCTTGGAGGCCCTTTGAATAGGCGGCCGTGGTGCTGCAACTTTCGGTGCCTGGAAGTTTCGAAGATGGGATGGTCATTGAATGGTGATTTTCATGGTGATTTAACGTGATTTAACCATATTTAACCAAGTTTTAACCATGATGAACCCATCAAAATGATGGTGATTTAGACATATTTAACCCATCACAATGAATTGGCGATTTAAACATATTCGAACATATTTAAACCACCTTTGATGGCAGAAGATGGGATGGCAATGGCTGGTGGCTACAAGAAAGAAATGGATGGCGTACTTTGCGTACACTTTTTTCGTCGGTTCCCAGTTGTCTACAGTAGCTGACGTCTGCGCTGCGTCTGCACATGTCCAAACCCTGGCTGATGTTAATCTCAAACACGCTAGCCATGGCTGAACAATATCTTAGCCTCCGTGCAATCATAATAAATCACAATTATGTAATTCGTGATCAAGCAAGATGGAACAAACTCATTCGCAAAAAAGGAAATCAACATATTATACATCAAAAATGCAAAGATTGCATGTAGGAATCCTGAAAATGTCTACGGCAGGATATAGTGGGGTTGCTTCTGAATCTATTGGGGATTATCATAATCCAGTAAAGGAAATGGAAGACCTTGGGGCCTTAAGAAAAGAAAAAAAATTGGGTCAGAGTCCTAGACTACTGATGCTTACTGCGGATTTTGGTCTTTCCACCCGGCAGCTGATAGTGAAGATTTGATAGGATTAGGAAACCTTTGCTTCGATAACGATTAGTGGCTGGGAGAAGGGTCTAAAGTATGTCGCCTCCGTGGTGGTTGCAGTGGTTCGAGGTAGGACCGGCACCGGCGCCGGTCTCGGCTGCCCTAAGACTTCCGCCAGCATCGCCTGGGTTTTTGGGGGGCTACCCATAAAACATGGGGTGCCAATATTGAAAGAATTAGATGGAAGGCCAACAATTACCAATGAACAGTATGTATTTTTTTGAATTTTGAAGGAAGGTATTGTGAAGGTCATTTTGAAAACTATCCATACTTTGTCAATGCGAAATAAAGTATATTATCAAAACCATTCAAAACCACCATCAGTGAGACTGGGAATTATCATCAACACACTCCTCGGGATATTGAGAGCAGCTGATCAATCAGGTGGCAGTGTGTCAAAACCTTGTGCCCCTTCTGTTCACATCAAAATAGCTGGTAAATGGATGTTCATCCCCCTAAAAATGGTATTAATAGGTATTGATCCATACCCAGGTATCTTCAAGAAGTGTGAATGCCTCATTAGAAAAGGGCAAAGACAGAGTCAGTCACGCGAGTCAGCCGCCCCAAACGTCCGAGTCAGGAACCCCCCCTCGGAAGCCGGGAGGAGGATCAAGGAACCCGGAGGAAAACAGAGAGTCAACAACAAAGACTCAGTCACCCCTGAAAGCTATCTATATCTATATCTATCTATCTATCCATCCATCCATCTATCTATCTATCTATCTATCTATCTAGGAACCCCATGGGAACATGGATAAACGGAACGTCAACAACAAAGAGTCCCTTAAGAAACCTTCACCCAACCCTAAAGAAACCCCAAAGCAACACTAAGTAAAGCCTAAACCAACCCTCACGCAAACCCTGACAGGACCAAACCTAAATAAACCATACACCATTTTTAAAACAAATCCTGACGAAACCCTTATTAACCCTAAACCAACCCCAAAGACACCCTAAACCAACCCGAAATATACCCTAAACCAACCCCTAAATATACCCTAAACGAAACCTAAACAAACTCTAAACTAACCCTAAATAAACCCTAAACCGACCTTGAATAAACCCTAAACCAACCCTAAGCCAACCCTTAGTAAATCTCACAGCGCTAAAACAGACCCTAAACCAACCACAAAACAAACCCTGACGAAACAATAGTTCAACCCTGAAACAAACCCTAAACCAAGCATCCATAAACCCCAAACCAAGACTACATCAACCCTAAAACAAACCCTACAGAAACCTTAAACCAACCCTCAAGCAAACCCTGACGAAACCCAAATTTCACCTTAAACCAAACCTAAAACCCTAAACCAAGCCTAAATAAACCCTTATCCAACCTTCGCACAAACCCTGATGAAACCCTAACTTGACCTTAACCAACCCTTAAAAACCCGAAACCAGGCCTAAATAAACCCCAAACCAACGCTAAGTAAATCCTAAATAGACCCTAAACCAAACCTTGACGAAATCCTACATTAGCCCTAAACCATCCCTAAGTGAAACCTAAATCAAGCCTGAATATACCCTAAACCAAGCCTAATAAACCCTAAACCAAGCCTAAATAAACCCTAACCCAACCCTAAATAAACCCTAAACCAACCTTAAAACAAATCCTGACGAAACGCATCATTACCCTAAACCAACCCTTTAAAAGGCCTAAAACAAGCCTAAATAAACCCCAAACCAACACTAAGTCAACCCTCAATATAACGAACCATGAGGAAACCCTGCAGAAACCTTAAACCAACCCTAAAACATCCTAAAACCAACCCTAAATAGACCCCAATACATCTTGAAACAACCCTGAACCAACCCTAAAGAAACTATATCACTTTGATGGCCCACGAGGCACGGGCGCAGGGCTTCCTGCTTTCAAGACAATCTTGATGAGCTTTGGAAGTGTCCCATAATTATTCCACTGGGATGCAATGAAGATTAAATCGAAAAAAACTGGTTCAAATTCAAAATGTTCAAACTATGGCTAAAGACATAGATTAGTGAAGATATGTACAGAACAGGGTAAGAATATGTATTAATGATGATATCCCCACTGTAAATTCCCTTCCCATTGATGGTCACCCGAAACAGCTCTGATTTGCGTCCAGTCACCTCTTGATCACAATCATCAGGCCCAGCTATAGCTCCACTTGCCATTTGTAGTTGAGAATTGTACTCCTGCAGGGGATGATATGGGATGATTGGGATGGGTTGGGAATCGTATAACATCGACTATTTTGGCGTATATAGTATATACCCCCTTGGTTTTCCAAGTCCAAAATGGTCTTAACATGTTCCCCGCAACCCCCTGGTTCGCACACACTCAAACAACACATCCAAACAATATGATATACTTATCACCAGGATCAATGAAAACACTGGCTATACGCAGTGATTTTGACTTTAAGTGTTCATGATTTAGGGTATTAATTTAGGGTTTAGGGTCTTAGGTTTTAGGGTTTTGGTGTTTGTTGTTTTGGAAAGTAAACAAGTTAAAACCCTGCGAAGGGATTTTAGCATGTCAAAGGATATGCGGGATTGGCCGCGGGCAAACCTAGGGGTTGCAGCGATGATGTTTTATATAACTTCACAATGTTTAAACTCATGTTGTATCAGTGCTCGTTCCTGACGCCAAATTTCTCTCTTGAGCTGGCCATCTCACATCCAATGCTGAGATAAAGATGTGAGTCCAACATAGGATTCCAGTTGGGGAAAAACATGGCAATTATCAACCATTGGATTTGCTGAAAATAGGCATATCCGAGACCAGCTTCATCTGTAGCTGACAACCTCTATGGATGTGCATCCCGTGAAGTGTATCGAGTTAGTCAGGAGGTAATAAGTTATACCCCAGTATCCAGTTATACATATATATAATATATGTATATTGAATATCCCTATAGTTCAGCTATATTATCGATTACTAACGTTCATTAACCACCTACAACTACAAAATGGGATATATCCCTAGAGTTCTATATGGGTTATAAACATCTGTTAACACAAAATGGGAGGCGCATCCAGTCCTGCAAATGGCACCAGAATACATTCGGCTGGACGCGAAAAGCGGTGAAACGGGCACAGCCACGCTCTCTCGCGCATCGGGCCTGACGGCACCGCAGGGCGAAATTGGGTTGTTCCTGATCACCTATTGAGAATGAGCATATTAACTAAACCTACCATAACAACTTTAAAGCAACCAAAAGCTTCCAAAAACAGCATCAATCACTCATTTTGCGAGGTTAATAAGTGTGAGCATTGAGCCCCATTTCTCCGAAAGAGGTGTCGACTGGGCAACGCACGGATATGTCTCGCCTGGCAGTCTGCGGGAGACCGCACCCTCGTTCGACCCTGGCCGAACATGTTCAGAGGCCTGGCAAGGGACAAGATCTGAGATCCAATCTGGATGATTTCAGAAAGCAGCCAATCTGGACGACACATGATTACACTGACTATATCTCACTATACTGTCAAATCAGAACAGAACCACTTGGTAAATACTTTTTGTTCCAATCAGATACGCAAATTTCATACAATATCTCCATCCATTACAATCACAACAGATATTTTTTGAATCAGAACAGAACCACTTCTTTGTTCCCAACAGAATCTGAGTAAATCTGAGTAAATCTCTTCAGACATTCCACGACTCCACGACTCACCAAGGCACTCATATTTGGCATCCTTCAGGAAGCATGGGCTGATGTGCTCAGGGATGAAGCTACTGGTGACCACCTCAGAACTCCATGTCTAGGGACCCATTTGGGTTGACACCACCTGCTTTTTTCATCGCGAAACCACCAGCAAAATGTCACACATCGATACAAATCAATACACACCCCAATTTCTTATTGCATATATCATATATATATATATATTATATCATTTGATTATATTTGCATGCTCTACTAATTTCTACCATGTAATTTCTATGGTGTATGTAAATATGCTATTCTGTTATTCAATGAACAGGGACGCTGGCCAGTGGTCTTACTGTGATCCCCGCTTCTGGCGGATCGATCCAGTCTTCCGGCTCGTTCACCTCGGATTTTATCTTCAGAGATTCACCCTTCTGAACTCAGGTCTTTGGATGAGTTCCTAATTCCTAAGTACGAACATATACACATAAACATACATAAATTATAAACCATGATTACAACGTGTGTGCATATGTTTGCTATAGTTTGACAAGATGTATGAGACCTTGATATTGGATAGGCTGTTGGACAGGAGGAATTTAAATTAGGCACAAGTCACTCCGTGGTGCGCCTCATATCGAGAGGTTCGATGCCAGATATCCTCTTTCAGAGAGCCTGGAAGAGATAGGGAACTCAGTGAACGATTCTGCGCCTGAGACATTTGAATGTAGGCTCACCCTAAAACTCATGTTTGAACTTCATTTCATTGTCAACATAACAATTTCATGCCATGGCATCCCCTATTTTTGGGGCAAACCCATGGTTTCTTTGTGCTGCAAAAAATACGACTGGGCCCCATGGGACCCAACATGGGACGCTGGACCTTGAGTTGGAGCTCTGCCAGGACTTGGGGCAGCTCGCCTTATGCGATCTTGATTTCAAGTAATATTATTGTATGGATCTAGCTGGGTTGAAAACCCGAAAAGCAGGTGCAGAAAAGAACACAGGAAATTAAAACCACCCAACTTGATAAGTCCATGAGTCAACATGAAACAAACCTGGATTGAATCATGCTCATCGAGTGTCCGCACCACTGCCCCCTGCACCAAAACAGCAGCATCAGCACCTGAGACAATGCTGTAGCCCGAAGAGGAATTGTATCAGCTGATATTTGCTTCCTTGTGCTGTTCTTGGCAGCACTCAGTTTCAGGCAAACCATAGAAATAAGCAGCATTTCAGAATAGCCTGGCTTAACTTTCACTCGGTATGCTTCGGTTATGACGTCATGTCGGATAGTCCCTCCCGTCCATCAAAGACGTGTCAGCTCCACAAGAATGCCCTTGTTCAAACGACCTCATACTGACGTCAGAAAAGAATGAAAGATTGTGCAAGTGATTCCATTCTCAAAGCCTCGTAGCATGTACTACATGTACAAGTACCAATGATGTGTATATAATGTGTATATATATACAGTATACACATAATACTGTATGTATATAATTATACATACAAATAAATACAAATATACTATTAAATGTGACTTGAAGAGATCGCACATCACTTGAGCAAACGCAGACAAACCACTGCTCATCATCATCATCATCATCATCATCATGATGACTGAAACTATATACTCTACATCTTCATATATCGGCATTGCTTGTTCAGAGCCCCCCCCGCCTCTGGGCCATGACCGACACAGCAGCGGCAGTTCAGGGCAAGTCCGACACAACGGGATCAATGTCAAGCAGATGGCTGCCAGGAACGATGGGATGCCTCGCAGCCAGCAAGGAAAAACACTTTGAAGATCTTGCGATTGGTGTAGACAAAACATGACCAAATCCGAGAAGTGAGGTGGACATGAGCTTCTTTCAAAAAATGTAAGATGTCTGTAGAATCACATTGCAACACATTGCAGTGCTTTCGACCACCGCCACTGACACTCAGGCATGGTCCAGAACGCAAGACCACTATCAGGCCAATGACAAAGGTCCAAAGGCTGATCAAGGACACCTCGGAAGGACATTCTTGTGACTCACTTGGGGTGTTTCCAAGGATACCGTAGCCCCAAAATTGCAATTTTAACGGGGAAGATACAGGAACATGCTTGTTAAGCAATGGAAAAAATTGGGATAGCCTGTTGTCAGACAAATCCATTTGTCATAGTATGTGTGAAAGAACCCTTGGTTGCTCAGAACTTGTTCTGTTTGCAACCTTTTTGTGGACGTACCATGTCTGCACACCAGGGACCTGGCATTTACAACTCATGGGTGCTTGTAAGCTGTGGGAAAATTGGGTTGCGCATCACCGTTGCATTAACTAACTATCCCGTCCGATAGCCAAACATGGCACTGGAAAACATCCTTTTGAGTCGGAAAATAATCTGTACCATCTGGTTATTTAACATAGCCATGGAAAATGGCCCATTTATAGATGGTTTACCTATTAAAAATGGTGATTTTCCATGGCTATGTTAAATAACCAAATGGTATGTAAAATTATATGAATGGATGAACATGTTGGATTTTCCATTGCCAGGGTATATCAGTATATCCCCCACTTTTTGTCGTTTAAGTCGGATCCCCAAAATGTTGCTGGGTGAATCCTGACTCTTGCTGCTTAGACAATGTTGGTATCCCAACCTCAACATGTTGGTGATTTTATGTTATTTTGTTTGTTGATTCAATCCCTTGCGGGTTCAATCCCGCAGTCAGTGCCGGCCATGAGAGCCACGAGCCTCATAGGGTCGGATGCCCAAGAGCCTCAAGGGCTCGTCCCGCTGGGCTGAGAGCTTGAAATTTCCAAGGGACACCTGTCAGCTGCGGTGGGGGATAAGCCAATTATATATGTAATGTATCTTACATCATCTCATCTTATCTTATCTTATATCAAATTATATTATATTACATCATATTAGCTTATCTTGTATTATATTATGTTACAATATGTTAAATTTTATTACATTGTATCCTATCAAGTTATATAATATTAAATTAACTTGTATTATATTAGAGTATATTGTATTAATGTTTGTTATATTGTATTATTATTAAATTATATGGTGTTATATTATTAAATAATTAAAAACATATATAATATTCAATTAAATAAAAATATATCATTACTATATTAAATTAGATAAAATTATATTATATTATTAAATATTAATATATTATATGGTATTATATTATATTATATCATAGTATATTATATTATATCATAATATATTATATTATATTATATTTAGATAAATAAATATATATATATATTATTATATTTAGATAAAAATACATATATATATGTGCGGGATATCTCCACTGAATGGGGCTTTACTATAGGTGTATTAAACCCCTTGCTAAGTGGAATGATCCTCCGAGTACTGAAATTGCATGAAATTGATATGTTTACTTATCATTTTTCTAATCATTATATATGGTCCCGTCCTCCGTCTCTCCACCCCCCCCCCATGGGTTGGGTCCCCAGGTAGTAGCCCCAATTCCCTTCTATTTGCAAGCTATTGGCAGCATTTCTGAGGTCCAGCTTCGTATTTGCTAGGTCTTTGCAGCATTTCTGACTACCAGCCTCGCATTTACTAGGTACATGCTACCTTTTAGGCGACCTACGTAGCACACATACTCCTTCAAAGTACCTACGTGCTACCTATAGTCATACATATATGTGCTATGTATCTACTGTATCTACTTCCTGTTTACTACCTGTGTACTCTGACAACACTACCTCTGTTGAACATATACCGTACCTACCATACATGTCAATGATGCCATGCATACCATACCTATCATATCTATCATACATACCATACATACCATACATATGAAATGTAATTACCACACCTACCATACATACAATAGCATACATACAATAGCAAGCATACATGCCATACATACCATACCTACCTTAGATAGGACATATTCCATACCCATCATAGTAACCATACATACCATACAGACCATACATACTGTCATATCAAACATACCATATCCAACAGACTTACATACCATACCTACCATCCATACAATACCAACCACTCATGCCATACATACCATACCTACCATACATACCAAACATACCATACTTTCCAAACATGCCATACCAGACCGACCATACACACCATACATACCCACCATACCATACCACACCCCCACCACACCACAGGGGGGGGAGGGGGACAGTGCCACACCCCCACCACACCACAGGGGGGGGAGGGGGAAGATCTCATATGGGACCAGTATATGGGACCCATCCACCACACCACAGGGGGGGGAGGGGGACAGTGCCACACCCCCACCACACCACAGGGGGGGGAGGGGGAAGATCTCATATGGGACCAGTATATGGGACCCATCCACCACACCACAGGGGGGGAGGGGGACAGTGCCACACCCCCACCACACCACAGGGGGGGAGGGGGAAGATCTCATATGGGGCCAGTATATGGGACGCATCCCATGGGGGGGAGGGGGGGGTGGCAGGGCCTGGTGCATATATATATATATATTTGTTTTATCTATTTGATGAGAATCTAGAATGTGAAGGTTACGGGAATCGGACTCATCATAAAATATTTTTGTGGTGACTTTGAAATATAGAGCTTGTCACAGGTTATAGATTCAAACGTCTGGACGCGAGAAAATATGAGGAAATGCCTTCTCATAAATGATTAAATGGATATATCATGCGCAGGCTTGCAGTTTGATCAAGCGTCACCGCCCCTGGGCCCCACCTCGTTCCGACCAATGGACAGCGGTACGGGGTCGGTGCCGTCAGCCAACTCAACTTGCCAAACCCACCAGGGGACTTGACAATTCAGCCTCAGAACGGTCAGAACGCACCAGGAAAGTCTTGGAAGGCACCAGGATCCAACATGATTTCAATATCACAGCAGAGCTTTCACTTGGACGCCAACCTGAGTTGGCGAACCCTAAACCCTAAACCCTAAACTTTTAGGCCTGGCGGCACTTTGGCGCCAACACAGGTTGCTATCAGCCTATGTGTTCCTTTTCCAGCCTTTAAATTATGCCAGAAATTAAGCTCCAAAATGGAGGCTTTCAAATTGGTGGAATTCGGGGGCTCCATTTGAGTCTGGGGAAGCTGCCTCATCTCCAGTCCCGGCAATGAGACAATTCCTTGCCAGATGTTTTTAATCTCTGGATATTTTAACATCATTTAACATCATTTAACATCATTTAAAATCATTTAACATCATTGAGAATCATTTAACATCATTTAACATCATTTAACATCGTTTAACATCGTTTAACATCGTTTAACATCGTTTAACATCGTTTAACATCGTTTAACATCGTTTAACATCGATTAACATCGTTTAACATCGTTTAACATCGTTTAACATCGTTTAACATCGTTTAACATCGTTTAACATCGTTTAACATCGTTTAACATCGTTTAACATCGTTTAACATCATTTAACATCATTTAACATCATTTAACATCATTTAACATCATTTAACATCATTTAACATCATTTAACATCATTTAACATCATTTAACAGCATTTAACATCATTTAACATCATTTAACAGCATTTAACATCATTTAACATCATTTAACATCATTTAACATCATTTAACATCATTTAACATCATTTAACATCATTTAACATCATTTAACACCATTTAACATCATTTAACATCATTTAACATCATTTAACATCATTAAACATCATTAAACATCATTAAACATCATTAAACATCATTTAACATCATTTAACATCATTTAACATCATTTAACATCATTTAACATCATTTAACAGCATTTAACATCATTTACAGTAACACCATTCTGGACTTGCACTATGACAATATTTAATTTGAAACTAACTACGTATACGTTGATCTTTTCTCCCAACTGGCAACCACCTTGTTTCTTCGGAGAAAAGGACATCAACACCACTGTTGCAAGGAGCCCCCTCCCAGAAATCACAAAAGGATGTGATCTTTACCAGTTGCCAACGGATTTTCTATTAGAGGTTCGAGCTTCATGAGACAATTATCCTCCAAACTCCAAGCTTGATACATTCTTTAAACATCTTCGGATAGGTGAGAACCTTTGCTTCCTACCTGCAGTGTGCATGAACGTAGCACTTTCACACGTAGATACATGACATGGACCGTGAAATTACATGTCAAAGTTACGTCATAAGCATTGCAACGATGACCGAACCTTATCTGTTTGTTTGACAAAAAATCCCTCAAACATCCTCAAACAATGAACAACAAAATCTGGGATTCTTGCCCATCATGGTATTTTTTCCAACCCTTGGGTTCTGCCACGCCCGAAATTAACCCAGCCAGTCGACTTATTCTCTACCTCCTCAGGCTCCACGGACCAGGTTGAACCAGCGGCATCTTTGATTCGTGGCATCACCGCTGGGTGCAGCGAAACAACTCACGGAGGTTTTGCTTGCTGCGTCCAAAAAATCTGAGGGACTCTTGAGTCATTGTCAGATGCTACAGCGACACTACCAAGCCCTGCAATGTCAGCATCTTTGTATGATGAAAAAATGTTGCTTTCAAGTGTCAGACATTTCCTAGCTACTTAGTCCGTGAAGGATGTGTCGAGGCACACCAATCAAAACTGATGCAACCATGCATGGTTGTGCTCTTCAATCTGTTCAATCTTTGCTGCCATGATCATGAAGCACTCTAAAAGCTGCCGCAATGGGCGTCCCTGTGAGATCATAATGGATATCGGATTCCCGGGATGTAAACCATGTACATATCTAACGGAAACCGGCATTGCCATCAATTTTTGAAATCATCGGTTCTGCAACAACCACAATACCACAGTGCCACAGTGAGCATCACCGGAACACTCCAAAATGATGCAAACATTTGACACCAAACTAGTGAACTGGTGGTTTCATTCTCCCACTGCACTGACATGACAGGCACAATGGATGGATTTCGCTGCGTTTGAAGATCTCAATCCTGCAAAATCTCAGCAACTGAACAAAAAATCACACCGTCTATGCTGGGATTGTAATTCAGCCACCATTTTCGGTATTTCATTTTGACATCAGTAGTGGCTACAAGCTGTCGAGCTGCTGTGCTTGCGACCTTTTCGAGCCATGTCGCATCATTTCTCCAGCTGATCTGAGCTGTTTTGACTCCCCAAGCCCGAAAGCTTGGAGTGGAAGGAGCCATAACCTTCGCAGGAAAAAATCCTTTGGGACAGGCTTTGAAACCAGCTACTTAGTTTTGCTTAGAACATCTTCGAACTTTGGATGCAGTAGATTCTTCATATATTCTTCATATATTCTTTGTTGACTCACAGTGAATGAAAACGAATGCAATGCTAAACGCAGCGCCAAACGAAGTCACAACTGTTTTGCCATGTCGCGTAGCGAAAGTGGCTAAAGATCTGGGGTAAAACATTGGGCCGTTACGGCCACGGCAAAATATGTGTTGAGGCCAACGTCATGCCACATCCATGTCAACCATGCTCGTTCACATCCGTCCTAATCTTTTCTTGGTCATGGATGGTGGCGACATTGTCACAACTGTGGAACATCGAAATGAGGACAGGAACGGTCATACCAATCAGCGCATGCTGGTTGAGTTCCTTGCTGTACAAAACGCTCTTCTCAAGTCGATGCCACACCACTTCGTCATGATCCAGGCTGAATCTTCCAAAAGTGGTTCTGTACGGAACGACTGCTGCGCTAAATCTTGGCTCTGGGGTCCTAAAGCTCTTTGCATTAAAGGCCAATTCTATTCTTAAAGTGCCAACCCTTCCTCAGAGACATCAAATGTGAAAGCATCGGGTCGTCACCGCTCACTCGCTCACCAGGCAGCACAGCGCATGCTATCTGCTTCATAGGTTTGCTCGAACGGGCTTTCGTCACCTGCTTCACAAACTCAGGGTTGAAAGTGATCGCCCAGGAACCATTGCCCATGATGCGACGCATGTGGGTCAAGTCCATGTCTTTGGTACCTCCATCGATCCACATGTTGTCTGTCGCTGTCCACTTCAAACATGTTTGGGGTTTGCGCAGCACCGATCTCATCCATGCAATGGAAAACGCCATGGATTTCATGGAGCCATAGGACGGCGTGTCGGAGTTGCCCTTGTCATGAACATCCTTCGCGTCCACAACTGCAGTCATCTGAATGCTGTAGAGGCTAGGGTCAACATTCCGTCCATCCATCTTGAAACCTCTGATGGTCGCAAGAAAACCTCGGCACAATTGGCCGACATCCATGCTCTCCTCCGCCGCCAAAGTTTCAGCGCCATAAGTCGAACGGCACACTCTGGGGATCCTGTGAGATCGAGCATCAATGATGTTGAAAGAGCCCTGCTTGCCTGACAAAAGGTTCTGGTCGGCAAGGAGGATGAAGTAGCAAGCCTGAGAATAGACCTTCTCAGTCACCGCACCTTCGTTGCTGCCGTTGAGCTTCACATTTCCAAGCGCAGCGTCTGAAACTGCAACAATTCCAGCAGATCTGTAATCCACAGGCTTGAAGATCAGCTCAAAGTGCGGATCACGCTTGAACTCACGTACCAAAGCATTGGCACGCATCAAAGTCTTGATGGTCGGAGGTGACTCTCCTTGAAGAGTTGATACACCAAAGCACATGTCAAACCTGATCTGAGCCACCAACCATTGCAAGCTGCCAAGCACACCACGAAGCTGTCGAGCTTCATGTTGATCCAAAAGAGCATCAGGATCACTTTTGCGATGTCGGGGAATGACAATCTCCTGAAGGTTTTGGTGGTACTCCCTCATTGACAAGCGGATGGTGCCATCGGTGTGACGCCGTATGCGTTTCCCACACCAGGTGAAGTCGTTTCGGTCCAAACTGCCGAAACCCAGCTCATCGCCAATGGCCATCAGGGATTTCTCAGCCTCTGCACTTCCAGTGAAAAGCAAATCATCCACGTGAGCCACAACGATCCCTTCCAAAACGCAAGAGCCATTTGGCAATGTCTTCCATCTGCACCACATTGCTGCATCAACCAAAGATCGAACCCAGCCGTGCTCGGCCATAGATCTGCTCAACCTCAACCACCACTCACGCGGTGCATCTGCCAAGCCAAAGATGCCCTTGAGAACTCGACACAACTGCCCAGCTTTCAACGGAATGTCAGGAGTTGTGGCAGCATTGGTGTTCTTGAGGTAAAGTTCACGATCCATGTATGGATCACCTTTCAAAAATGCAGCTTTAACATCAGCAGAAATGATATTCCAAGCTGTGTGAAATGCAGCAACGCAGAAAAGAAAATGCTGGCTGAGTCGTGATCCAGTTGGCGCATCTCGGCGAAGAATGCCCTCCAAATTGGAGCGATCACGAAAGCCAGGGACCACCAAACGTGAACTCGCCTTGACAGGTAGTGGATGGCTCTCAGTTCTCAGTCCATCATGTTTATCTGTCAGGACGAATCGCGGCTGCAAAATTCTATCAAGCTCTCCACGCTTGGCCAAGTCCTTGTAGACCTTGGCGGACTCTTCCATTGACAGCACTTGCACTGCCTTGTTGTCGACATAGGCTTGCCATCCTTGCACTGCAGCTTCAGACCAGAGCTTCTTCTGTGTTGGTGTCATCTTTGACCATTGGTATTCTTTTCTGGCTGTCTGAACTGCTGCCACATCATGAGAACCGTTAGGCAAGGATTGGCCCAACTGCCGTTGAAGTTCCCAGTCACGCTCGCAAAGCATAGCCCAGCGACCATCCCAAGTGCCATGATCAGTCTCCATGACATCAAGTGGTTCACGTCGATCCATTTCGACCAGGGCTTGCAGCTGAAGGAGAGGATGTGCTGACTGGTTCTCGGTCACATTACAAAGTTGCTCCCATGTCATGGTCATTGCTTCAAAGGCTGGGGCAGAGTCCAACGATGCTGGATGAGTAAATGGAGTCTCGCGATCATCTTGAGCTAATGATTCAACTCCTTGCTCAGCGGGTCGCTTCTGTCCTCTATCATCAGCTTCGCCATCGGCATCAAAACTTCTTGCTCTTGCCAAGGTCGACTGAAATCCAGGTCGATTCATCATCTGGGATGCCTGTGTGATCAATTCGGGAACAGGAGTTCCAGGGGCAGCTGTTCCAGCGGGTTCAGCTTGAGGCATTGAGAGCAAGGAGTCACGTCTTGATGGAAGTCCAATGGATGCCGGGGGAGAGGCTTGTGCTGCAGGCTGCATGGCTGCTGCAATTTCACGGGTGGAAAGTCTAACACCCGGGACCGCAAGTCCAGGTCCAGAGGGCAAAAATCCAGGGCCCGAATCAAGTCCAGATTGAGCAGCAGCCTCTTCATCAGATGCATTGTCATGAGGAACGGCCACATCAGCACCAAGAGCAGCGGGGTCTACAATCCGATCATTCCTGGCTGCCTTGATGACCTCATCAATGGCGGCTTCCCAAGCACCTACAGCGACACTTTCAAGGGATGAAGCCTTTCGAACGTGTTCGACCGGGCATTTGGTGACCTGACCACGGTAGGAGATGAAGATGTTGGAGGCATGGCCATCTTGGGGACCTTCACGTGCGATCATAAGTCCAGGACCATGCCAACGTTTCAAGGACAGTCTTCTCCTCGTGGTGCCCGGCGGAACGTCCTTCTTGGAGTTGTACTTTTGAGCCCTCCAAAAGAAGACTGTATCACCGGCTTCAGGGACTTCAGTCGCTGTTGTGCTTCTTGACCGGGCAAGTGCGGCCTTTCGGAAGCCTCTTGAGTAATGCAGTCGCACCATTGCAAGACGAGCTGTCTCGCGCATTGCCGTTTGTTTGGCCATTGAAGGAGATGCAGCAATCAGTGAATGTTCAGCAAGGCGCCTGCCAAAGTCGTTGAGGACATCACCAGGTACGGCAGGAACTTTCCCAGTAACAAGTTGAATTGGGGCCACACCGGCTTCATTGATGTCATCATTGTAGGCCATAGTTGCCTCGCTGACTGCCGCTTGCATCTCTTCAAAGGTGCTGATTGACTGAGAGTGGACAATGGCGCCCACCAGTCCTTTGAGTGTTCCACCAGAACGCTCGGCGACTCCATTCTGCCAAGGAGCGCCCACGCCGATGTGGTGCAAGTAAATGGACTGGCTATCACACCAGTCAGAGAAAGCACTGCTGATGAACTCTCTCCCTTGATCTGCAATGATCGTTGATGGTCTTCCAAGCAAGGGCATCCAACGCTCCTGGAGGAACTTGATGACTGATGCCGTGCTCTTGTCTTCAAGAACTTGAGCTGCTTGAAATCGCGAGACATTGTCAGTGCAGTGCGCCACCACATAGGAACGACGAAGAGCATCTTCTATGATCAGCAAATCAATGTGGAGCTGTTGCCCAACTTCACGAGGTGGAGGAAGTGAAGCTGGAGCACGAGATTTCGGTTGCCGTCGTTCTTGGCAGATGGAGCATTTGATCATCTTAGCGGCCACTACCGCTTCAGGTGGAGCTCCACAGACAACAAGTGCCCGGGCTAAGCGAAGTGGATGCCTGTGCCCGGTGTTCACGTGAAGGCGGAACACCGCATTCTTGATGCCAGGCGGAATCATCAAAGACTTGTCAGCCTCCGTCGCCTTCATTGAGTCATCAGACTCTTCTTCTCCAAGCCTTCCATCGTCCACATCGCTCTCTTCCATCAGGACCTCGTGCTCCGCCACGTTGGTCTCATGAGCGTCCTTGGGGTTCAGCATGTAGGTGGATTCAAAGTCAAACTGATCCATGAAGGCTTGAATCAAGGCATCAGAAAACTGTGGTGTATAGTGACCTGCCGCAGAGGTTATCTTCGATCCTCCAAGAACTGGTGAATGAACATGGCCACCCACACACCTGTGATCCATGAGGTTGGACACAACTGCTTGCATTGACGTCAAAAGTCTGGTGCCTTTGCGATGCAAATTGCCATCAGGACCCTTCAATCCAAAACGACACATGTCCACCACAACTTCCAAGGTTGCAGGGTCTTGTCGTAGTAGGTCAAGTTCAGGCACCTTCCATCCAAGTGAAGGCACAGGGTTTTCCACTAGGAAATGACGGCCGCATCGCAACTGAAGCAAGGCAACTTCCACCGCGAACCGAATCAAGATGACTCCTTCTGCTCGCTTCTCAGAGAGGTCATGAGCAGGATTCAATCGCTGAAGGGGCGACCATGGTCCGCAGGAGAATGCAAGCACAACCACATAGGGCTTCTTCTTCTTAATCAAGTCCAAAGCCTTCTTCCGGTGAGATTCCAGGCGAAAGTCAAAACCTGTATTCAAAGTCAAAGTCTCACCAGGAATCAGGCCACGTCGTTGAGCAGCTCGGGCAACAGGGTCAGTATCAGAGAAGACTTCTTGAACAAATGGATTGGGCAGCTGCAACTCAACTGCCAAAGCCTCCTGCATGAAGCCTGACATCTCAGCCTCCCAAGTCAGGTTGAACACTTCATTGACCTCACGTGCACCAGCAGAAATCAAAAGCTGATCACGTCTATGTCGATCCCAAGCCTGAGACACCATCTGCTGCACCGCAGGCTTGATTTTGGTCAAGGGCTGAATGTCACCATCGCTCACTTCGGCGGGATCAGGTCGATTGAACGACCACTCATCTCGTCGTCCGACTTCTCTGGAAGATCCGCTCCTGCGGTGTGTGGTTGTAGAACTGCTGCGTTGCCCTGAGTGTTGATCACGTGCTGCAGCACTGGAAGCAGCATCGCCTGGAATCGTTGCTCCTGCTGGGACAGAAGGTCTTGAACTCGTTGGTCGACCTGGTCCAGAGTCACTGAGGTAGTTGACGGTGAGGACTTCGTGGACTCGGCCGGAGCGGGTGAGGCTCGCTTCGGCATTGGTGGCGTCATGAACTCCGAAGGTGCTGTTGGAGTTTCCTTCGAAGAACTGGCCTTTGAGTCGTACTTCATCTTGTTCTTGAGGACGTCCACCATAGGTCGAACCTTCTTCTGAAGAACTGGCACAGTATCGCGAGGATCCACTTCCACTTGAAGCAACGCTGCAAGCTTGATGATGTCGGCTCGCAAGCTCGGAAGTCCACCACGGGGGCCAATCAACGCACGAGCCGCGTCTTCTCGTTGACCTCTGGCCGCGATCTTCTGTGCTTGGATCTTCGCTTCTGCCAATGCCTGAGCTTTCAAGTTGTCCTTCTGACCCTTGTTGGCTCGCAGGGCCAAGAAACCAGAAAGAAGAGAATCTTCCAGGAAAGCCATCTTCCAACCGCACCTGTCTCTGAACCTGCTCATCTCGATCAGATTCGCTGCAGTGAATGCTCCAGCTTGGACAGCGGCTTGATGATGGCCCGAAATCAAAGTGCGATGGCCCACCATAGACTGAGCTTGAAGTACCCATTGATCCGTAGATGAAATTGATGGATATGGAAAAGGCAAGTAGCGCAAGTAAGAACGAGCGCACAGCCAAAGAACGAGTCCTCGGAAATGCCATTGTTGTCGGTCCCAAAGGCGCAGCACGAAGCGACGCCACTTCTGCAACATCGAGTCTCTTGGCTGAGTCTCCATCAATTTGAGAGAGATCTTGAGGTCCACCTGGTAGTAGGAGAAGTTGAGGAGGTTGATCACCAATCACAAGTGAGGGCATGGTGCTATGAGCCAGGCCACCAGCATCAACGCAATGTGCTTCATGTTCCACAGGGACAGATGCAAGACGACCAGCTATCAAACTACTTTCTGTCAACATGTGATCATGATTCAAAACTGGATGTCCACCTGACCCTTCATGAAGTTTACGTTTCAACCAATCTTGTGGATTCAACTGAAGCTCAATGATACCATCTAAACCAACTTTTCGCCATCGCCCACTAGCAAGCCTGGGCCATTGCCGTGGTTGGAGAGGCAAAATGAAGTGCCCCGCTTGCATCTGGTCCAACCTTTGCCGAGGAGTGCCAAGAAATGAACATTCCAGAGTGCGGTCTGCGAAACTCAAAATGCCACCGACCGCATCCAAAAAATCTCGGCCAAGAAGACAGCCCAAGGAATTGATGGGAACCAGAGAAATCCAAATCAAAATAATCTGCTCACCAATCACTGCAGGAATTCTCCAACGTTTAGATGATGGTGCCATGCCGCCATTACCAAATCTAAAGTTCTCAACTTCATCAACTGACATCACAAGGTCTTGAACATGTTGAGGTGCTTCTGAATGCAACTTGCTCATGTATGATTCCATCCAAACTGGGCCCGCACAAGTCCTGTTGCATGCAGAGTCGAGGGCCCCAACTTCCAGCTTGTCGTTTGCCATCGCCTGAGAAGCATTGGAAATCAAAGTAGAATGTGAGGCCGTTGTCAAACTCGCACTCAGAGCTGCATCCAACGACATCGAAGAAACATGCATGACCATGGATGCTTCATGAGGAATCGTGGTTGGGGTAGTGCTCAACTGTGATGATTCAAAAGTGACAGTTGGGGCTTGATCAACTGCAGAAACATTCAGCGCTTCAGCCAACTTCACCTGCTTGGGCCGCATTTTTCCAACAGCACCACCCTTTGGTCGCGCCAGACCGGCGCCAGGTTGAGAACATTCTTTGTCTCCGGCCCAATGGCCATGTTGGCCGCAATCGAAACAAGGGTGGCGGCCAGAACTCTTTCGAGCGCTGGGCTGGCCGCCACCTTTGGATCCACTCCCAATCCTTCCATATCCACGATCTTTTCGAATTTCTGCTAACTTGGATCGAGCCTCCTTCATGGTGACTAGGGCTTCAGCGGTCTGTTCAAAACCTGTTTCAAGACTGTCCAAGGTCTCTTTGTCCAACCCAAGCTGCTCTGCTTCTTGAAGCTCTGTTGCAAATGCTTCAGCTTCCGTCTGAAGGATCTCCGTCAAGGATTCACCACCCCCAGCGTCTCCATCATCGCCATCTGCGGCACCACACTCTTCATCAGGGATCAGTTCGGGTTCATCCTCAGGCACTTCAGTCAGGTACACCTTCCTTGTCGGCAAGGACGGAGCTGAAGATGCAGCCCGCCGAGACGCAACTGAAGAGCTCCCCGAAAAATTCGAACTTCTCCCGAACCCCGAAAAAGTAGAGGAAGAAGATGATGAGGACGGAGCGGTTGAACCTTGAAACATTCGACGGATGCTCAACTTCGGTTTATCCCGGTCCAACTTGCGAAACAAGGGATCTGCAGTTTGCAAGTCCTTGAAAAGCCTCAGCGACTCAGCTTCAATCACCTCGTACTCTTCACGACCCTGCAAGCTGGTCTCAAGAAGTTGTTTCCTCAAGGGGTCAAGGCCCATCTTCTCCTTCAAGAACCATCCAAGCTCTGTGGGAGGGATGACAACTCCCTCAGATTGCAGGTCTGCCACCAAGGTGCGGAATCGAGTGCAGTATTCCGACATTCTTTCACCAGCTTTACGCTTCAGCTCAGTGTAGAACTGCGACCTGAGCTCTCCGCGTTTATCCAGCACAGTCTGACCATTGATACCTTCCAAAGCAGACAAAAGTTTGTTGAGGCCAAACAAATAATCTGCTGGAGTGTCCAAGAGTTGCTCGCCAGTGTCGGGGTCAGTCACATAGGATGCTGGCTTATGTGCTAAATCATCTGGATCAAATTCTTCACCTCTCTGCCTTACTATTCCAGATTGTCTCAGCAGCCAACGTGCAGCAAGGTTATATTTTGCAGTTCCAGCCAGATCCAAACTCGAAACCCACCACTTCATCTCACGGCGAAATGCTCGCCACGTCATTGGGCTCCCGTCCCAAACTGGGACATTGCTCCAAGCTCCATGTCCAGTCTCCTTCTCGTCAGTCATGATGTGCCTTAAGCAGAGCCACAACTGAGCTATCGAATTCCTTCCAATCCAGGCGCAGCCACGAATCGAAAACCTTGCAAGAATTAGGACACAAGGAAGCAAGCGCAAAAAGGTCTCACGAATCTGCCAAGCTCCGGTGCCACTGTTGACTCACAGTGAATGAAAACGAATGCAATGCTAAACGCAGCGCCAAACGAAGTCACAACTGTTTTGCCATGTTGCGTAGCGAAAGTGGCTAAAGATCTGGGGTAAAACATTGGGCCGTTACGGCCACGGCAAAATATGTGTTGAGGCCAACGTCATGCCACATCCATGTCAACCATGCTCGTTCACATTCTTCATGTATTCTTCATACAATGGGTTCTTTTCATTTCTTTTCACCATCAAATCCAAAAATCTCCATCATCCCAGCAGGGATGATTGGAGTCTATTTGATTCTATTTGACTATTTGCTCAGTAGGGTTTAATAAATAGAAAGGACTATGAACTTGAGACACTATTGAATTATTGGGAATAAGTTAAATAGATTACAGGTGTCGAAATTAACACCCGCATGCTTCCCTTTGCACTCCAAATTCTTGGGTCATAGCATTCTATGATCCTAACAACCAATAAAATGATCATCATGGTGGCAATCGGCACCCCCTTGATGCTTTTTCGTGTTGGCTCCGCCTTGTGTTGCTGGTCTGGAGCCTTCAGGCTTCAAACCTCGGCGCCAAAATCTATCACGTTGATTCATAGTGTCATCATTGTTTCCTTTCTGGTTGGTGCTTTCAAGCCATATCAAACATCTTGTTCATTCACGCTTGTCATCCCAGGTGGGGATACAATGGTCTCAACGTTCAGGCAATGCTCCACTTGAAATTCCATACGCGAATCAATTCCATAGAAGTCTTGACATCTAAGGTCATCAGCATTGAGTTTGATGTTGGGGATACATTAAGCTTCAAACCTTTGAAGCTGAGTGCTTTATAGTGGTTTCAAGTACTACGAGTTTCCAGATTTTAACGGACCAAACTCATATCATCATTTCATCCATTCTGACATGCTACACCCAATAATAAACCACCCCCAATCTGACCACAAATGGATGGTATAACATAGGATAATCATGTATAATTATAATAAATCCCCAACTGGAAGTGGCTTTGAATGGCTTTGATGTTTTCGGGATCGCTACCTCATTGGTTGCCACATGTCCGACCTGTCCTGCAAGAATCGTTGGACCCCCAACTCATGATCCGCACGCGACCATCGGTGCCGCCCAAGGCCTTGAAACGCGGATACGAGTTCTGTGGACCATGTTCTTCAGTGGAAAAAAAACGGAACTTTAAACCAGTGGGCCTTCGTTTTTTCTCACCCAAACATAGAGAAAATCATGCGAATCAACTGGCAAACCATCCGACTTTTGGTGTTTTGTTCCCAAAAATAGGGCATCCATTTGTAAAAATGAATCATGCCATCCTCACCTGAGCCAACTGAGCCAACTGAGCCAACGGCGAGCAGCCCAGTTTGTGTTGAGGCAAAGTCTGCGGATAAGCAGGTGTAGTCCACCTGGTTCCAACATGTTCTGCCAATGGATGAAATATGATGAAATCTCTGAAGCTCTGCATATCTTTGAATAAGATCATGATTCATCCTTCGGCAATTTTGCAGATTTCTAATTTGAAACACCCAATGACACCACCAAGGCACACAATGATTGACCCGGTAGAATCATTGCTGTAGGATGACATCATGTATCATCATGTAAACCAATGCATCGGTGAACCTTCATCCTCTGCTTTCCACATGTTGAAGATGGTATGGGTACCCTCTGGTAAACTAACATAGCTATTGAAAATGGCGATTTATCGTTGATTTACACATTAATTTAATGATGATTTTCCAGCTCGTCGTGTTAAATGACCAGAGGGTAAATCGCAATTCATCCATTGATTATCCATGAATTATCCATGATTTTCCATAATTATCCATGATTATCCATGAATTATCCATGAATTATCCATGATTTTCATTGATTTTCCATCAATTTTCAATGAATAATCCATTGATTCTGCTGCAACCAGAGCCACCACGGTGCCCAAACACTTCGATGGAGCGGTGGCTGCCGGTCCTGGAAATCTCAAAGTTTTCCAAACAAATGGTTCCCTAAGCGACCAGTGGTGGAATCTAACCCCAAAAAAGGGGGAATTTTACACATCTATATGATGAATACCATGATGTAATGATATGTAATGATATGTAATGTTTGGTTGATTGCGATTTCAGCAAATCCGGCCGGTGATAGATCCCCAAATTGAATCAAATTGATGGCTTGAAAAAGCCTATCTTTTTTTTGCCCCATACTGTAACCCCTCACACAACAATCATCACTGTGCTAACCGTAGCACTCATTTCAGCCAAAGGTTGATCATGACCACATCGGCAAATTTGGGTCAACCATATCCGTGGCCAGAAAAGCTACCCTCTGGTTATGTCAAAATAGCTATTGAAAATGGCCATTGAAATAGTGGATTTTCCCATTAAAAATGGTGATTTTCAATAGCTATGTTAAATTACCAGAGGGTAGATGTTGAATACTCAGACATGGCCACAGAACATCACCCATCTAGTTCGATGATGTTCCTTCAACATGCCCATTTAGTTCACTTCGGGATTTACCAGCTAGCCATGTTTGATGACGGTGGGTAGTGATGGAGTAGTTGAGTATCCAGATCCTCCACAACAACGATGACTCCCTGTGCCAAGGTCCTCCATATTGAAGAATTTTGGCTTCGCCGCCATCCTCCTTGCTTGCAAAAGATCCGCCTTCCAGCATGGGTGGAAAAATCTGGTCCATGGGTGGTCATCTGGTCCCTGGTCCCTTTTTGGCAAATATGTGGGCCATGCCAATGGTATGAATGGTGTAAGATCAATTAAGATCATCCACAATGGGAATCCAAAAGTCGGTATATCAATTCCCATAGATATCAAGGGATTGATGACCTTCACCCAATATGGGTATATCCTCCGATTGTTTTTTTTGCGTTCAACGGGTATCACAACCTGCTCAGTTGGACAACTCTCGATTCTCAGATAATGTTCATAGCCTTTGTTGTACCACAGCCCATCAACGACTGCAGAACTCCGCCTGCTGCAATCAGTGAATTATGTGGATCCTTTGAGAACCTCGCCGTGTACAAGAAGCAGGCGGGCTCCTGAGAGGCTATAGAAATGGAGGTTTCCTAATGGGGGTATCCCCAATCATCTAAGTCATTAAAAAAAGTCCATTCTTTAGTATTGAAACAACCATGGTGACTTGAGGATCCCCCATTTTAAAACAACCCCCCAAAATAATGGCACACAGAATTATTTCCAACGTCTTCCACAATTCCACAGTCTCAAAAATCTCAGCATGTATCATGTCTCGACATGATTCCGTTTTATGGTCTGTCCTGGGGCCCCGAAGAGCGCCAGGGTATCACCTGTTTTTTTCGCAGCAATCTGACGACATGAGGTGCAACGACTTCTACTCCAAACAACTCAGAAATCCTAACATCCGACATTTGGTTTCTCTGAAAATCAGGTACCCTGAAATCCCACGCTTCAAACTTCAAACCCTAATTGTGAAAATCTACAGGCAAGGAATAGGGTACCACCATTTTGGCGGCCAACGAACTCGATGAAAAGCGAAACGCTGCGCCTTGATTCGCTGCTCCTGTGCCAGGTCCCAAAGCTCCAAAGGGTTCTGGCGCGTTCTTCGGTACAAAACAACTTGCAATGTTTCTACCACTCTTAACCAGAAGTATTTGTCAATTTTTATTGTATGTATGTATGGATGTATGGATGTGTATACATTTGTGTGTCTGTCTATATCAAAGTATGCAAGTATGCCTGTATGTCTGTGTCTGTGTCTGTCTATGTCTAAGTCTATCTCTACGTCTATGTCTATGTCTATGTCTACGTGTATGTGTATGTGTATATGTGTATGCATGTATGTATATATTGATGGGTATGTTACTGTATATATATACATTTTGATATTGTAATATATTGATAGCATTATGTTGATATGATATACTATACCCTCTGGTAAACTAACATAACTATGGAAAATCACCATTTTTAATAGGAAAATCCACTGGCCATTTTCAATAGCCATGTTAAATTACCAAAGGGGATACAAAAACAACAGAAGCATGTAGGGGACGTCATTGACCACCCCCAGCTGATGGGAAACGAGAAATGGAGTGCTTCAACAGCTCACTCCCTCGTGTGTCTCCTACAAAGTATCTGTTCTCTGGGGCTTCCTTAACCACATCGTTTCAGATACGATGTGAAAGGATGAATCCAAAAGGGAAATCCAAAGATATCCAAAGATGTTTCCTGAAATGGGGGTTACCCCTAAATCATCCATGTTTCTTTGGAATTTTCAATGAAATAAACTAACCCCATCTTGGGGCCCCAAAAATTGAAATCACACGCCTGGTCTCGATAGCTGCCGGTCAACAAATGCCGGCCGTCTCCGGAGACGTCCTGGAAGCATTTCGTTATTTTCCACCCCAAAAAAGCGGGGTATCAATCATGTCCGCCATCTTAGATAGGATTGCACAGTAATACTCGTCTATCTTATACCCAAAGATAGTAACATATAGTTACATAAATATATATATATATATATATTTATATATACATATATACGTATATCTATAAATACATATATATATATATATATATATTCACCACCCAATAATAATATATATATATAATAATAATATCTTTTGTAGCAGCCTTTTATTATATACCAACCTTTAAAAAGGTATGTTTCTGGCTTAAGCCAGCTGCCGAGGTGCAAGAGAATCGCCGCAAATGTGGGGTCCCAGGATGGCTTTCACTGCATGACCTGCAGCTTTCAACAGGAACATCTGACAACATGGTGATTTAACATGACTTGACAATTAGAAATACAATGAAACTTGGATTTACTGGGAGATTCATGGAGAGATAAAACGTCCCAGGAAACAGCAAAAACTCTCCGTTGGGAGAGGAAGTGGCCGAACAAAGAAAAACTGCATGGGGAGATCTTAGGGGATATATATATATATATAAGATATATGCCGAAAAACATGACATTTGGCTTTGTCTGAACATGGGTTTCCGGTTCTATCCTCCCTAAATGGCAAGATATGGCAAGGTAGATGAGTAAACATGACAATCCATTGGGTTTTGTTCCTCATTTTCAGACAAGCCCATGTCCCCTTGAAGGAGAGATACAAATACATGAAGCCAACAATCAGATTTACAACCCATCATGACATAAGCTATCTTCGGGGTTCTTGAGATGGTGGATCCCCAAGTCACCATCGGTGTCAATGCTAAACTGGTCTAATGACTTGGATGATTCGGGGGTACCCCCAGCCATTAGGAAACTTGGGGTGTTGTGAAAAGAATTCAATGCGACCATACCTCATTCTCGACCAACTCCACTATCAACATGATAGTTCAAATTCACAGTGATCCCAACAGAAGCAAAATCTCAGCCGCTGGCCAGCACGCAAGTCCCAGTATTGAACCTGTCAATGGAGTTCCAAAAATCTACACCATGTTCATGTGAGCAGGAAGCATGACAAAAGGCTGCATTCAAGCTTTGTTGCTTGCAGCCGTGCAAGAAATCAAACCATTGGCGTCCGAGATGGTCCACTTTTGCAAAGTTGAGTGGTAACCATCCAGTTTACCATCCACAACAAAAATTATTTAAACAAAGTTTAGTAACCATCCATTTTTTCACATTTTTTCACCAGTTAACCAATGTTAACCACCAGGAAAGTTTACCACCAGGTGGTTAACCACCATGGTGAACCATCCACCAGGAACCAGGTGAAAAACAACCAGGAGTCCCCACGGAGTTGTCCCAACCACCGCTGATCAGAGCCCAAGGCCTGGCACAGCGGTGAGAATTCTTAGATGTCTACTGCCTACTGGGATTTAAACAATTGATCTATGTTGATTTGTTCGTAAAATGACACAAAACTTTATTTTTTTCTTGCTTTTTTTTATTTTGACATTAAACCATATGATATTCACATATTCTATGTAATTCTTTGCTCGTGTGTTGATTTCTGAGACTCTTTTGGAACCCTTCGGATGAATTATGGGCAAGCGTTTGATTTGTTTTGCCAAAAGCATCACTTTCTTGAGGAAACCAAATCTTGCCCCTGGCCCCTGTGGAAATTCTATCTCCGTGGCTCCATTTTGTAAAGCTTCCACTACAATCCTACAATGGCTCCATAATCGGGTGACACAAACTTAAAACAACAAAAACTATCCAAAAGCTCAAGTTGAGCCAAGGTGACTGAAACCCCAATGAGAACCGTTCGTGCCCCATGACTGTGAGACACCGCCCTTCTGAAGATGTGACGCATCTGCTGGTAAAAACCGCACAGCTTGGACGCCTTGGATTGGTGCAGGGTTTCTTCCAGCTGTCCAACAACAAACGAGCTATGACAGCTATGACAAAGGAAGTTCTACAAACGCCAACGGCTTCAATTTGAACCCAATCTGCCACACATATCCACGGATTTGTCATGCTTTGTCCGCAAATAGAGAATAGCCCAAAATGCGCTTTCAATGGCAGAAGTGATGATACCATGAGATCATTATGAGGCGCCCTATTTTCTGCTGGCCAAACCCATATCGCGGATAGCCTGTTTGCAGCAGAGCGACGGTTTGAATGTCCTGCTGTGGTCTCGTAGTTTCCACCCTGCAGTTGGGTCAACTTGGCTACCCGCAGCCATTGGAGAGTCGGATAGCCTTTGGGTGCCAGAAAGGCACCCAACCTCTGTATCCTCAGCATTCTACACCTACACCACCACTTGAGGCAAGCTTAAGCATGCGTGGTTGGGTTTTGATACAAACAACTCTCCAAATTGTGGCATACTTTCCCATATCATTCAATTTTGGTCATATCATTATATAATATATACCATTTTGTTTTCCAAGGTTTCTCCCATGATTTTGGGATTCCTCAGGTGGAAGGTGACTTCGCCCCTCACATCCGAACAGCCGTCGCCTCTAGGCGCACCGTCTGCTTCTTGGTCTCCTGACATCACTGGGAAACCGATGCTGGATGACAAACCATGGGAGTACCAACATATATCAACCAGCAATCATGAGGGATATCAACCATCAACAACGCGCTATGAAAATCTATGAAACATTTTGAAACATGCAAGTTTTGAAATATGTTGAAACCAACTCAGGGCGCTGTGATACAGTATGTGGAGTACCGGAAATTGATGATTGGGCGGAATGGGATTTTTGCCTGAATGTTTCAAACGTTCAATCTGATGTAGCATTCGTCTCCAGAGTAGCATGTCCAAAGGCTCTCCGTGATATGCCAAACTCCGACCTCGTCGATCACGAAAATTGCCTATTGCGGGCAATGAGAAGCCAAACAAATAACAGAAAGTATCTGTTCAAGTAAAATTATACGTTGTACGTCCATGGCCCATGGTTTCATGTGAGCTGATTGGGCGGCCACACACTGGTTTTAGAGGATGTTTCAATGGTTCCCAGTTTCCCATTCCTAGCTGTTGTTTCACATCTTCTTGGGGGTTTCAACCTTTTGGATGGTGGATTTTTTGCATATCCCTGGCTAAGATGGGATAGGTGAATATCACCACAGCAGCTAAATGGATCTAAATGGTTGCTGATCGGAACCAGAAATTGTATCATGATATCTTGACACATCCCTATAATGTCCAGGGAACCCCAACTTCTTTTGTTCCAAATCTATTGGTTTTCCTTCTGACCCTTTTCAATCTTTTCATGTCAGGAGTAATTAGTTGGGACCTGGTGCTGGTTTCCGACCTTCAAGCCGCCAGTGGCCAGCAACCCACCATCATGGTTGTAGTCTACCTCAGCACACAGGGACCCAACCACCTCAAGTTTCTTCCACTGGGCGTTGGTCGGTTCACATGGGTGAAAAACCCGAGATCCCGGCACAGAACAACTGTTCATGTTCAGATCCTGCACCGAATTCCTGGACCAAGTGGCCAGTGCACATGGCCAGCCACTACTGAAGCAGCACATGGATTTGTCTCAAAATTACAACCCAACAACCTACGGTTTATCAAAATTTCTCCATGAACATGGCAATTCTGGGTCAACTGCTGGCCTCCAAGCATTTGCCGCTGGTTACATGCCACTGTCGCACTTTTCCATCCTGAAAAGGGTCCAAATTTGTTTCCGGTCCATCAGGGTAGGCTGTTCAACGCAGATTTAGAAGTTTTCATCAAATCTTCACCTGACATTGCTGAATTCTCATACCCCATTTTGAAATATCTAACCCTACCCATGTGGGGTTATTGGGATTGTACCCACCCAGGCCCACCAGTTTTCGTTCATTTTGCATGAACTCGTGGTTTTTACAACATCACTGGTGCTCATGGATGTTCATCCTCCCATCACCCCAAATTCCAACAGCTTAATAACTATTTTCCCGCCACCAAATCTTAACTGCTTACATGTCAATTATTCTTGTGTGTTCACGCAACAGTAGACCCCACGGTTTTACTGTTTATAAAACCGCAAACCTCTTGGGGAAATCGTGTTAAATTGAACAATTTGTGGGTCAAATCACACATTTCTTCGCTGTGTTTTGGGGCTGGTGCTAGCGAGGAGCCGTGCTGACTCCCACCAATACACCGCGGGTGCGCAGGGATGATGTCACCGTTTCGGGACGCCAGCAGACCTGGAGGATGATGAGCAAAGCTAAGGTGAAATCAACTTCAACAATCGGTCATAGCTATGATAGATGTCATGAAATTTGTTCTAAAGATTCAAAAATGAAAAGTTGACCTACAAGTATGAAAATCGATGATAGTCACAAATAAATGCCCCAACAACGCTTGACATTTGAGCAAGGACCAAAACTAAGGGTCACAAAGGCGGTCATGAGCAAAAATTATCATTTTAGATTTAGGTAGTTCGCTATATCGCTTTACATGGGTTTGTAGCATGCCAAACAACGGCTATTGATTTGATTTGGAGATCCATTTATAGTGTTAGACACTCACTTAGACGATATTTTGGAAATATATATCTTTTAATTTCGTGCCAGGAGAGATCTTCTAAGTGCCGCACATAGAGGATTTTTTGTTTTTTGTCTCACACTTGCAACCTTAATGTTGAACAAACATTGATAATAACTACAAATGCATTGATGGTTATCAAAAATGTTCAACATTTGATAAACATATGTTAATTACAATCAATTCATTAGACCAATGACCGCTATATATATATAAGGGCACACACACATATGTGAGGTTGCTCAACACAGGTTCATATAAAAAAAAATACAAAAGTATCAGGGTTCAGATAAGGGGGGAGGAGTTGTGCAAATTCTTTTGGTAGATACAAAGCGGAATGCATAGGGTGCACAACTACAAAATGCAGTGCTGTTGTTTTTTTTTTGCAGCTACAAAATGAAGAACATAACTCTTTCTGGTTCGGAAAATAATTCAAAACCAGTACTACAAAATCCAATGCATCTGAAGTTAAAAAATCGATGAACGTCGGAATTGCTAACATGATTTTTCCCAATGACATTTTGTAGTTGGGTCTTTGCCATCCAAAGTTCCGACCAACATAAATTCGGAGAACATTTTGTAGTTGTCAATGATTGAATTTAGTTGGATCAAGTGTTGACCCCGTGCAGTTTGTTAGATGGCATTCTGTAGCTTCATGATCTGTTTGTGTCCATGTACATGTCACGCACTGTTTCCTTTTTTCCACCTCTTCTCACCTCTTCAAATGAAAAATGCAAATGAATTTTTATGTTGGATGCTTCAACTATTCAACTTGTACAACTACAAAATGCTAATGAAATTTTATGTTGGATGTTTCAACTAACTCAACATATACAACTACAAAATGAAAATGATGATTTGAAAGGAATCAACTACAAAATGATTCCAAATACAAAATGGGGGGCACAACCCCTCCTGTTTGTACAAAAAAATCCTGGCTGGCAATCTGTACTGTAGCCCAAGTCCTCCCCATTTCGTAGCTGAAATTTGAAGGTGGATGCAAAAGTATCTATGATACGATTTGTGTATACATGCGAACATATGTATGTATGCAACGAGGTTCAAAGTGTGAGCGCTCGCAAGGGCACAAACATATGTGAGTTTACACAACATGGGTTCATATACGAAAGTATCCATCGTATGATAAAAGGTTTACTTGAATAAATGAGTCCGTATACAAAAGTTTCTAAGTGTGAGCGCTCACATGGGCACAGCCATAGGTGAGTTCGCAAAGCACAGGTTCATATACAAAACTATATGTCACATGATATTTATTGATATATGTATACTTGTGAGTGTACGTGTATACAAAGAGGTTCTAAGTGAGAGCGCTCGCAAGGGCATAAACATATGTGAGCTTGCACAGCATGGGTTCATATACAAAACTATCCACGATACCAGTAGTACCGCGCAAGGCAGTGGCGGAAGTTTCAAAAATAGGAAACCTATAGGAGAGATTGGTTGTTGTGAATCACGGATGGCAGAGCGAATCCGCTGATGGACCGACAGGTGGTCGGAGTTGTGTTTTCTGAAGTGGCTGCAATGGTTGCAGTGGTCACCTCACCACAACAGCTGGATGTAGCGTAGTGTAGTGCAGCTGTAGTTGTAGGTGTAGTTGTAGCTGTAGTGTAGTGGAGTTGTAGTTTTAAGTTGTAGTTGTAATGTAGTGTAATGAGTGTAGTGTAGTTGCGATTGCAGTTGCAGTTGTAGTTGCGGTGTGGTGTAATTAGCGTAGTGTATATATTGTAGTGTACTGTAGTGTTGTGTACTGTAGCGTGGTATAGTGTAGTGTAGTCCAGTGTATTGTAGTGTACTGTAGTGTTGTGTACTGTAGCGTGGTATAGTGTAGTGTAGTCTAGTGTATTGTAGTGTAAAGTACTGTAGTTGTAGTTGCAGTGTAGTGTCGTGTAGTGCAATGCAGTGGTAGTTGCAGTTGTAGTGTAATGTAATGTAATTAATGTAGCGCGGTGTTGTGCAATGTAGTGTAGTTGTAGTTGTGGTTGTTTTTGTAGCTGTAAGGTACTGCAGTTTAAATAGTGTATTGCAGTGTAATGTAGTGTAGCTGTAATTGTAGTTGTAGCTGTGGTGGTGGTGGTGGTGGTGGTGGTGGTGGTGGTGGTCGTAGTAGTAGTAGTAGTAGTAGTAGTAGTAATAGTAATAGTAGTAGTAATAATAGTAGTAGTGGCTGTTGTAGTAGTTGTAGTGTAATTAGTGTAGCGTAGTGTAATTAGATGTAATTAGTGTAGTGTAGTGTAATGTAGCGTCGTATATTTGTACTTGTAGTTGTAGTAGTAGTGTAGTGTAGTGGTATTGGAGTTGTAGTTGCAGTTGTAGCTGTCTATCTATCTATCCATCTATCTATCTATCTATCTACCTATCTATCTATCTATCTATCTATCTATCTGCAAGCTTGAAAACGAAGCTATTCTGCGAGACTTCCTCAGTTTTTGAACTTGACAACATCAAAAACGCAATTCAGCCAGACTTCCTCAATTTTTGAACTTGACAACGTCAAAAACGCAGCAATTCAGCGAGACTTCCTCAATTTTTTGAGGTTGACAACATCAAAAACGAAACAATTCTGCGAGACTTCCTTCAAAAATGGAAAGTTGAGTGCTGAGCTGACGGCCTCGTACCAATGCGTTTTGTGATTTTTCGACTCCACCTGTCTAAACTACTGCGCCTGCCACGGAAAAGTGATGCCAGGTCATACGAAGTGCTGCACCTGTCACGCAAAATCATCTCAGCAAACCTGAAGATCTGCGGCTCCAAAATGCAACCCCTCTCAGGAAATCAGCGCCCGGACCTCCTAACAGCTCTGATGAACATGTCTTACTGCACCTGCCACGGAAAATGCATCTTTGCAGATCCTCTTCACATGTCCCACGCCTGCCATCGTTTTTGGAAATGCTACAAAACATTACATTACAAAACCATCACGTTTTGCTCACCTTTGACAAGGTGCACAATCCCCTACGCCTGCCACGCGAAACGACACCTGAACGTCCAACAAGGGCGGGAATATGTGGTGCTTTTAACATTTTGACTTCGACATATGCTTCGCGCCACAACGGCGTGCACTTTTTCGACATCTCAACTTCCAAAAGTGGTCCGAACATGGTGTCTTTTGTACATTTTGACTTGAAAATGTGCTTCGCGCCACAATGGCGTCCACTTTTTCGACATCTCAACTTCCAAAAGATGGTGTGTTTTGTACATTTTGACTTGGAAATGTGCTTCGCGCCACAACGGCGTGCACTTTTTGGACATCTCAACTTCCAAAAGTGGTCCGAGCATGGTGTGTTTTGTACATTTTGGCTTGGAAATGTGCTTTAGGCAACAACGGCGTGCACTTTTTAGATATCTCAACTTCCAAAAGTGGTCCGGGCATGGTGTGTTTTGTACATTTTGACTTGGAAATGTGCTTCGCGCCACAATGGCGTGCACTTTTTCGACATCTCAACTGCCAAAAGTGGTTCGCACCCCTAGTGCTTTGTACATTTTGACTTGAAAATGTGCTTCGCGCCACAACGGCGTGCACTTTTTCGACATCTCAACTTCCAAAAGTGGTCCGAGAATGGTGTGTTTTGTACATTTTGACTTGGAAATGTGCTTCGCGCCACAATGGCGTCCACTTTTTCGACATCTCAACTTCCAAAAGTGGTCCGCACATGGTGTGTTTTGTACATTTTGACTTGGAAATTTGCTTCGCGCCAAAACGGCGTGCACTTTTTAGACATCAACTTCCAAAAGTTGTCCGGGCATGGTGTGTTTTGTACATTTTGGCTTGGAAATGTGCTTCAGGCAATAACGGCGTGCACTTTTTAGAGACATCTCAACTTCCAAAAGTGGTCCGAGCATGGTGTGTTTTGTACATTTTGACTTGGAAATGTGCTTCGCGCCACAACGGCGTGCACTTTTTCGACATCGCAACTTCCAAAAGTGGTCCGAACCTGGTGTGTTTTGTACATTTTGACTTGGAAATTTGCTTCGCACCACAACGGCGTGCAATTTTTCATCTCTCGCCAGCTGGCTCCGCACCACCCGCTTTAGCGAGCCTACTTTTCGACCCTCCGGAGCCTCAAATCATTGGAAAAACACCATGTTTCGCGACTTTCCTACCTTTTTGCGCACCTGGATCTTCTTTCTTCTGACTCTTTCTCTTTCTTCTTCTCGTCTCTTCTCTGACTCTTCCTATCTCTGCTTTTCATCTGTCCATGCTGTCGGAAGTTTGACTTCTAAACTTCCTTCGACAATAAATGTATACTAATACTTGTGAATATATGTATGTATACAAAGAGGTTCTAAGTGTGAGAACTTGCAAAGGCACAAACAATTGTGAGAGTGCACAGCACGGCTTGATATACGGACGTATCTGTGATATGATTTTTGATACATGCATACTATGCATACTTGTAAACATATGCATGTAAACAAAGAGTTTCTAAGTGTGAGCAGTAGCAAGGGCACAAATATATGTGAGCTTTTCGTTCATATACAAACGTATCTGTGATATGATATATGTATACTTGTGAGTATATATCTATGTATGCTAAAAGGTTCTGAGTGTGAGCACTCGCAACGGCACAGACATATGTGATGCCGCACAGCATGGGTTCATATACAAAAGTATCTGTGCTGTGAAAAAATGTATACTTATTATATATATCATTTGTATATGCATGTATACGGGGTCATATACAAAAGCATCTGTAATATGAAATATGTATATTTGTGAGTGTATGCATGTATACAAAGAGGCTCTAAGTGTGAGCACTCGCAAGGGCACAAACAAGTGTGAGAGTGCACAGCAAGGGTTGATATACAAACGTATCTGTGACATGATATATGTATACTTGTGAGCATATGTATGTATACAAAGAGGTTCTAAGTGTGAGCCCTCGCAAGGGAAGAGACACACGTGAGTTTGCACAGCACGAGGTCGTATACAAAAGCATCTGTAATATGACATATGTATACTTGTGAGTGTATGCATGTATACAAAGAGGCTCTAAGTGTGAACACTCGCAAGGGCACAAACAAGTGTGAGAGTGCACAGCAAGGGTTGATATACAAACGTATCTGTGACATGATATATGTATACTTGTGAGCATATGTATGTATACAAAGAGGTTCTAAGTGTGAGCCCTCGCAAGGGAAGAGACACACGTGAGTTTGCACAGCACGAGGTCGTATACAAAAGCATCTGTAATATGACATATGTATACTTGTGAGTGTATGCATGTATACAAAGAGGCTCTAAGTGTGAACACTCGCAAGGGCACAAACAAGTGTGAGAGTGCACAGCAAGGGTTGATATACAAACGTATCTGTGACATGATATATGTATACTTGTGAGCATATGTATGTATACAAAGAGGTTCTAAGTGTGAGCCCTCGCAAGGGAAGAGACATACGTGAGTTCGCACAACATGTTTTTTTTAGACATATATATATATAAATAACATGATATATGTTGACTTGTGAATATATATATATATATGCATGTATACAAAGAGCTTTCAAGGGTGAGCACCAATAAAGGCACAAACAAATGCGAGTTGCAATACTTTGGTTCATATACAAGAGTATCAAAAAATGATACATGTATACTTGTGAAGATATGTATAGATACATGAGGTTCTAAGCGTGAGGACTCAAAAGGGCACAGATATACGTAAGTTTGCACAACATCGGGGTCATATACAAAGTATTTGTGATATAACATACGTGTACTTGTGAGTATATGCATGTATACAAAGAGGTTATAAGTATGAGCACTTGCGAACGCGCAAACATATGTGTTTTCCTGCAAAATGGGTTCATACACAAAGCTATCCATGATACGGTCTATATAGTGACTAATACTCCTGAAAAATGTATGTATACACAGAGGTTCTAAGTGTGAGCGCTCGCAGGGGCACAAACAAGTGTGAGAGTGCACAGCAAGCGTTGATATACAAACGTATCTGTGATATGAAATATGATATATGTATATACTTGTGAACATATGTATATCTACAAAGAGGTTCTAAGTGTGAGGAATCACAAGCGAAGAGACATACGTGAGTTCGCACAACAGGGGGGAATATACAAGAGTATATACTATATTCTAAACGTATACTTGTAAGTATATGAGTACGTAAACAAAGAGGTTCTAAGTGTGAGGACTCGCAAGGCACAGACATACGTAAGTTTGCACAACATCGGTTTATATACAAAACTATCTATCATACGATATATGTAGTGAGCGTTCGCAAGGGCACAAGCATTTGTGAGTTTGCACAACTTGGGTTGCTATACAAAGAGTATATATAATATGATACATGTATACTTATGAATATGCCTATGTATACAAAGAGGTTCTAAATGTGAGTTTGTACAGGGGCAGGAGCATATGTGGTATATTTTTTGCATAGACATGATAGAGAGAGAGAGATATATATATATATATCTATTGGGTTCTAAGTGTGGTGATTTTGAGGTGATTTCCGGAGGTTCTGACTCTGTGGGTCTGACCTGCATACTTTTTGTTGAAAAAACGAAAAAAGGTTCAAAGTGGTTGCCCGTCAGCATACATGCTTTCAATTCCATATTGGTAATGTGAAATAAGACGATTCAACCTGTGGATGCAATCACGCGTGGGGAAAAACAAGTGCGTGTTCGGTTGGAATGTGGTTCACGCACAAACAACTGACCGTTTCCTTTTGTGGTTTTTATAGGTATTCTTGTAGTAATATTAGTATGATGTGGGAATATATATATATATAGATAGTTAGCTGGCACGACATCACACTTAGAACATTGCTGGACAATCATTTGGAAGATACTTCATAATGTTCAAAGTGTGAGGTCAAAATTTATGATACATAATAAGCTATTTCTAAGTGTTACGTTCTAAGTGTGGGTTATTTTCTAGCTTCAAAGTGTGAGGTCCCCGATTTTTTAATTTTCTAAGTGGGTGTCCGGCAATATACATCCATCTCCACATCGGCAATAGGGGCACTTCATGGTCAGCAGTCTGCTGCTCACTGTTTGTCTACAAAGTGCGGAAGGATTTTCCCTCAGAACAGCTTGGATTTGTGCATTGTTGCGCCCGTTCTTCTTCTGCAGATTCTGTTCATCTCTTTGGGTCATTAGATACAAACTATCTTATGATAGGTTTCAAGGCCAGGCTGGACCACGCCAAGTAGATGTTTCAAGACTTGACGCAAGCTTGAAGTGCGCCACTCCAGGGATGGATCGGGTCTCTGGCTGCAGGGGCCCCTTTTGGCAATTTTTGGTTTTCACTACAGGTTTTAGCAGCAAGGTCTGTGGTCAGAAGTGCATAATCTAGGCCTTGTGGGAGCACCTCTAAGCCTTTCTCCAATGCATCTACGTCTTGGCCCCTGGCCCCAGTGTGTTGACAGGAGGAGATCATAAAATGATGTATCCTTTCTCCGGTCCCCAATCCCCGGTCCCCTGTCCTCCCCTAAAAGAATTAACCCTAAAGGTGTGTGTCCCATGGAGTCCAATGTGTTCGATGTCGTGTCTCTTACCTCTACTTGTTCCCGCTGTCCCCGGTCCCTTGTCCCCTGTCCCCTTTCCCCCCCTAAAGAATGTAACCCTAAAGGTCTGTATCCAATGGAGTCGAATGTATTCGATGCCGTGTCTTACTTCTACTTGTTCCCACCGTCCCCGATCCCTCGTCCCCTGTCCCCGGTCCCCTGTCCCCCCCCCCAAAAAAAAATGACTCTAAAGGTGTGTATCAAATGGAGTCCAATGTGTTCGATGTCGTGTCTCTTACCTCTACTTGTTCCCACTGTACCCCGTCCCTGGTCCCTTGTCCCCGGCCCCCTGTCCCCCCTAAAAAAATTAACCCTAAAGGTCTGTATCCAATGGAGTTAACCCTGAAGGTGGAAGTCCACATCTCAAAATGTTGTCCTAAGTGAGTGAAAAGTCGTCCTAAGTGATCCTTTGACCCCTGGATTCCTATCCGACGATTACTAAAACAATGCATACAAGGTTACTCTACAATCCCAAATGGCTGCGAAAAAGAACAACACCTGGCAACTTCACCATCAAATCACGTTATCCCATCAAGCAGTTCACCATATCACTCTCCATGGTTTGCGACACATTTTCAGCCAGAGGGCCTCTCATGTAGAGGTTTCTGCCTGAACCCTTTTGGTCTTTGCCAATATTGTTTTGTTTTCAAATAACAACGCCAAAGGCTTCTGCAAAAATTAAACGGATAGGCCTGCTGAAAATGAGAGAAATCTCTGCTAACCTGCGGTCGCTTCCAGGGCTGCCTACTTGCTTCACTGTGTGGCTGCCAGGACGACTCAACCTCCCACAAATTGGTTTGTCTGAAAAAAAATACCCCGGCAAGAGACTGTGCTTGGAAGGAACATGACGATGAGATGAACACCGGGCCTTAACAGCTACTGTATGAACCAAGTGTGGCCACACTGTTTAGGGGAAAAACAACATCCCAGCCCTCCCATAGTTTACTTATCATCATTTTCTAGATAGGTATGGCAATATACTTGGGGATCCCCATCTTCAGACAATCCAGCTGCCAATACACGTGCAATTCAAATTAATTTGTTACAATCCAAAAAAGATAAACCAATGCCAATGCATTAAAATCAAATTGGGTCCCATCCATCTTTGGTATAAAGTTGAAGATGGCTCAATACTTTATTGTATACCTTCTGAGGGTTGCCTTCAACATTTCTGAAAAGCACATTTGAGGTTTGCGTAGATTCACTTTGTAGCACATGGCAAAGGAACAAGCGATTCGCAGGGAAAAAAGGTGCATACGTTCAACAATGGTCCCACAGACTAATGCAGACTGCAAAACTGGAAAGCAAACAACGTGTACGCGCAAACTGACAGGACATTGAAGAGGAGTCAGGCGTGCGATCGAACCTGTAAGCCTCTTTGCCAGTGGAGACATTGAAGACACTGACCTCGGGTCATCTCAACTCTGGATCGGGTCGCGCATTATTTCTAGTTTGGAATCACCTGTGATTTTTTTTTCGAAACGTCAACCACTACATTGAACAACACAACCACACAAAAGCAAACAATCGAATCATTACAAAATTACAGGTATGAAATCTTTAAATGAGTTCACCAGCCACCAACTTCACAGAAACAAATTCTCATTCAGATGCGTCTGTCTGAACATACAGTACCCCAATCCACGGGCGCGCTATTGTTTTCGCAAAAAACATGCAATGCCATTAAGTTGGGGAAGGTGTCAACGATTTTTGGGCACAAACCCAGATATACCCATACTGTTTTTACTGGTTCATTCTCCCATCCTTGATGATTTCATCCCACCGAAACCATTTTTAAGGTTGATGTTTTAAATCCCATTAGTTCATGTTGTTTCCTCAATTTATTAATGGTTAAATCCAGAGAAATGTCATCCTGGTTTTCTCTACCAGCAACATGTAAATATAATATGTTCGATGTACAGCACGTGCAGATAGCATTCATTTTCCCCACTCCCCACGCAGCAATGCAAACAGCTGCGAATTTGAAATTTAAGCTCTTGCAGTTTCAAACTGCACTGGTTTTGCCATGTCACTGCAGTTCACTCAAGTGAACCCAGCTCACCTCGGGATACCCTGGCAGGTGCACGCCTCACATAAGCAAATTCTTGAACCCCACTCAACTGAGAGGGATATACTCCACCGGGGTCGTAACCAATCAAGAGATCAACAGAAAACTTTCTTCGAGTAATCCACACTGTGGCATATACTCATCATGTTTTTCAAACATCTTGCACTTTAGCATACATATCATACATATATTCTGACGCTCATCTGATAACTTATCTGACATTTATTCTGTCATTTTAGGTCACATATGCTCTGACGTTCTATCCGAAAAAGTATTATGACATTTTCCGGTTCGTTCTGTATGGCATTTGTATCGGACATTTTATATAAGCCATTTTTTCTGGCATTTGATCAGGCATTTTTTCAGGCAGGCATTTGGTTTGGCATTTTATCTGACAGTCTATCTGGCACTCTATCCGGCATTTTATCTGGCACTCTATCTGACATGTATTCTGACCGTCTATCTGACATTTTGTCTGGCATGTGCTCGGGTCTGGCGCGGCCCAGAGGGTTGGGGGATCACTTGCGCGACTTTTGCCGAAATCACTTGCGAAGGGTTTAACCGTTTAACCCGAAGAATATTTCTCTCTGAGTGCGATTGGGGCAGCCTGGCGAAGTCGATCGAAACATGGCCCTGCGGAGCTCCTGCGTGTCAGACGTCCAAACGTGCGGTAAAATGCAAACTTTTTGGCACTCGGCCCAGCGCTCTGCACAGATCATGCGCGCCGGAAATCCAAACGTGGGTTTGTGAAGGCTTCTCTATGTGGCATACTGACATATGTCTTCCGCAAACACGGCCACAGTTTCCACTTCCGCGGACGGTCCCGCGCTACAATTCACTTCCGCAGCGCTTCCGCGAACACATTTATTGTTGACTGTGGGGTATAACGTCAGCTGCTAACCCCAGTCTTCCGATTCCGCCCCCATCCCGGCCCCGTTTGGCGGTCGGCCGTGCCGTGCCCGCCGGCGGCCGCCAAGAAGTGGTTGTCGGGATTGAAACGCACCGAAAAAGCCTGGTGGCATTGGGGTTATGTTTGTTTATGATGTGAAAATGTCAATCAAGCTTATAAGAGCCCGTGCAACAATTATTGGGTTATGACGTGCAAAAACAAATTGCCACGTAACCGTGCATTGGGGAATGGTGGCAAATATACCAATCATGTCTATATTCATTATCAGCCTAATAAAAAACAGTTGGTACTTTAGATATAATAACTTGGCCACAAAAATAGGATGATCAAGCCTTTGTAACTGGAATACTGTGGAGCTGGATGCAAACACCAGAAGAGAACCGGATATGTTCGCGTTACAAACATGAAACTTCCAGGTGCAAGCTCTGTAAAGCCAGGGTTCAAAACCTCTCTGTCCTACTTTTCACGTCGATGCAGGTGTTTAGCCTTTTTCAATCCCATTTCTGGCAGATCAAATAATAATATCCTTCTATTCTTACGGCATAAGTTCCCGTATTTGTCTATCACACCAGGATGCCTTTTCAAATTGGGTAGAACTATCTGATTTTTTTTGCTAAATTGGGACCATCATCCCGACTAGGAATGTGACAGCATGTCCGAAAATAAGGTTCCCCTAAACCACATGGAATCATCATTTCCCCCCTTCATTCAATGGCCATAACTTGGGGCCCGTACCCTTCCCCCACCTGGGATTGTCTAACACTACTGCACCGCCAAATTGATGCTTTCTTATCATTTTGCTCATTAGATCTGCAATTGTACGCTGACACGCCAATACCTCATTTTTGGACAGAAATTGTGAAACCACCAGCCGCTTCCAAGCCAGTTGCCTCCGAATCAAAGGGCTCGGTAATGCACACAGGCGACAGCTGCCAACCTGCATCGAGGTGCCGTCAGAGATTGTGAACGATGAATTTCATCTTGAGATTAGGAACTCATCCATTCGCATGGGTGAACCTCCATAGATGGCAAATGGATGTTCGTCGCCTCAAGTATTGCAAAATATAGGCTTGACACAGCGCCGCATCACTTTATAGTCTCTGTTCATTTACTACCAAGTAATTTCTATGCAACAAGTTGAGATCATGAACATATCATGAAATCATTTCCCACATGTAGTTGATGCACCAGAGGGATTAGATGCGCTGAGGGAATAATAACGAGCTTGAAACAAACAAAAGCATGAAACCAGCTGTGAATCAACCCCTAATTACAAACTGTTCTGGCACCCAAACTCCCGAGGGGTCCTATAATGAGCGCCTAAGGCATGCAAATGCATTCAGCCTAACACGCCGATCATTTGTGCAAACGAGGCGCCAGTAAAATCCATCAGGGGCAGACCGAGGGAAGGCTGCAAAGAAATGCTAAATGATATCTGCTGCTGGCATGTTTGACTCATCCGGATCGTTGTTGGAAAGAGATTATAGATGTCTTCCTTTTGCAGAGCTGCACCTGCTGTATGCAAATCAAACCAGTTAAGCGCAGAAGTCTGTTACACATAAACATTTACACGCTTTGCAGGTATGAGAACATTCACATAACATAATCTGACCGTATAGAAACATTTCCTGCACTGCAATGAAGCGCAAGTTGGGCATCTTGTGGTCTGGCAGCCAGATAAAAAAAACGTGGCACATGCAGGGAATTGGTGGATGGGAAATGCCTTCTTTAGATCCGTGTTTGGGTTTGTCTGATCATGAAGTACTTTTGCCGGTTGAATGGCCGTTGGGGGGTAAACCCCATTCACACATATCCATTTTGGAAAGATCACCGAGTAATTTACAACATAGCTATCGAAATTTCCTTTTTTAACACAAACAACTAATCTATTCCCAGGGGCCATCTCTACCGTAGATATGTAAACAGTTGCCTTTTGTCACATTTTGTCACCTCCACGAGCCTACCATTGCAACTTCTTCCCGTGTAGAACTATGGTGTCACTCAACTGGCGCAGCCAAAATTTTCGCGAATCCTCTTTTCCCGATCTGCATTGTGGCAATGCGCCACAGAAAACTTTACAGAAAATGAGGCCATGACAAATCAGATGCAAAGATCTCGCGTTGACACGGTTTCTGCGTGCATCAACGTCTGCGGTTAATAACCTTCTTGGCGACTTTGCACCACTTCTCACGGCGTGGGCTTGAGGTGATGAAAGAAACGACGATGTCTCGCTGAATTTTGATACACTTAGGGGTTGGGGTGAAAGATGTTAAAGATCTAAAAACATTTTCCATATGAGCCGTTGTCAAAACTCATTGTCCTCGCTTGTTCCCGAAAATTGGGTATCGCTTTTGGGAGGCCCTATCGCTATCCATGGTTTTGCAAAAAGAGGCAAGGAAGAGGAACGGAAGGAAAAGAAAAGGAAAAGGAAAAGGAAATAGACAGGGAAAAGGAAAAGGAAAAGGAAAGGAAAATGATTGGGAAGAGGAAAAGAAAAGGAAAGGAAAGGAAAAGGATTGGGAAGAGTCCGGAAAGAGGAAAGGAAAAGGATTGGGAAGAGGAAAGGAAGAGGATTGGGAAGAGGAAAGGAAAGGCAAGGAAGAGGAGAAGAAGAGGAAAGGAAATAAAGAGGAAAGGAAAAGGATTGGACCTGGAAAAAAAAGGAAGGGAAGAGGAACGGGAGAGAAAACGGAAGGAGTAAAGGCAGAGGAAGGGAAAAAGAGGAAAGGAAAAAGGACAGGATCTATTTGTGGTTTGGTCCGGGCCTACTTTTTGAACAAATGGGTATCGCTAAGGTATCGCTATAGGGGTATCGCTAATTTAGCCTCTTGCATGTACGTAACTTTGTGCAAAACAACTTCAGATGTGGACATTGTGCACCATTATATATAGGTATCGCTTTTGGGGGGGCCTATCGCTACACAATGTTTTCTGCATTTTCCAGACACCAGAGAACTCTCCTTACATAAGTAGTATATACCAGAGTTTTGACCGCACCTCATATCTTCTTTCAGTCCCTTCAAATTTCTTTCCATCACGGTTCTTTCCAACCCAAGTTCTCTAAGAATTTCGGCCTGGCTCATCAACGTAAACCAAGGTTCGGCCTGGCGAATACGGCAACTGAACCAAGATTCATGCGGGTCGCTCAGGTCAACATTTAAGGACCGAAAAACCCCGCATCCCCGCATGTCAACTTCTTCCAACTAAAGGCGGGTGGTGAAGAAAGAGTAAGAAGGAGATGCAAAGTCTGCATGGCACCAGTTGCGTATGACAATGCTGTATGGGAGATTTTGTCGAACGAGCGAAAGCTTTGGTGAATCTTTGTTCAATTCCCCTTCGTCAAAACGTAAGTACCTGTTGCTTTCATTGTTCACTCTGCCTACTGGCTGCTTTGAAGTATCAAAAATCAAAGTTCCAATTTCGATTATTTCATTGGTTCAATTCAATTCTGCCTACCTTCCCTTACGAAATTGCTAAGCCGACAATGATACAGTAGTTGTTCCTTTGATGTGACCTTTGATGTGCTTGTTTCAGATATGAAAAGATGCATAACAAAAACGTTCGTTCTTCTGACCCATCCCCGATCCTCTTGCATGCGGCCCCACCTGCGCCACTGGCAGAGCCACCTGAAGCGTGACTTCGAACTCACCTGAAGCAAAGAAAAAATAGATGGGTTTCGTCGGTGCAGATTCCCAAAGATAAACCAACGTGGATGGAATGGTGACACAAGTTCTAATCCTGTTAGTTTTGACCCACAGGTTTGGGGAATCTGAATCTGGAACTACTCCGACAGTTCAAGGCACATCCCATGATTGCAAATTGAGCCAAGGGACGACATTCGGTTCCGCCACACCTGCAAGGCGAGGGAACCATTAGCTCACAGATCTTTACGACGACGCACACACATGCAAAGTGCATCAGAATTCTGTCTCCACATCCACAGATGTTCACTGTCAAGCCTCCTGGAATGCATGAATTTTCTAGGTTGCATCAGCAGAGCACTTTGAGACTCGAACAAGATGCTTGGAAAGCAATCGGTATAAGGACGACGAGCAGCTGCTAAAGAGGCCATTTCTGACGTGGTGCGAGGGTATGCGCGAATAACATATGTATATGTGTTTGAAAAATGGGCAGTCAGCTTGCGGGGAAAAAAACTGAATGCCAGACATCGCTCTTGCGGGCCAAAAAAGCTCTTGCTCCTCAGCCACAAACGAAGTATAATACATAATCAGCTTGCCAAAGCTTGTCACTGAACTGATTGATTCCATCACACACAAATCTCTTCCTCTTCCAGCTCCGATACTTGAGCTTGACGACGAGCTTGCGGGGAAAAAAACTGAATGCCAGAAATCGCTCTTGCGGGCCAAAAAAGCTCTTGCTCCTCAGCCACAAACGAAGTATAATACATAATCAGCTTGCCACAGCTTGTCACTGAACTGATTGATTCCATCACACACAAATCTCTCCCTCTTCCAGCTCCGATACTTGAGCTTGACGACGAGCAAAGCTGTAGCTCTTGCTCAGGTAGCTCTGCATCTTGGCATCGTCATCAAAGGCCAAGGCCAGCATCAGGCCGCTCTTGCGGCGATCTTTGGGTTTCTCCTGATTGGAATGGATTGAAGACCGGTAAGTGCCGGAAATGCGGCTCAGGAAGCTTTCTCTGCGGCCTGCGGAGCAGCCAGCATCTTCGAAAGGCTTTGAAGCAAACATGCTGAATGAACCGAACTTCCTTTGCGTGGGTGCTGACACTGCCATGACTTGCTGCTTAATCCTTCCGCCTTCACTCAAGAGGTATTGAGGGGGAAAGAAGACTCGGACATCCTGGCGGCATGCGGCCAGCAGCAGCAAAGCTGTAGGGGCGTAGTTCCCACTCTTGCAAAGAGCCGATGCCAATTCCTCTTGTGAAAATCCTTGGCAAAGGTCGCAGTAGGTCTTTTGGCGGCCCATGAACTTTTCAAGCAGCTGACCATCCGGCTCCGCTGCTTCTTCCACTCCCTCGAGCGCTTTCTCCACACGCTCCTGAAACTTCTTCTTCAACTCTCCACGTGCCTTGCGAACAAGGCGGTGGACGAGAACAGTGGTCTTCAAGAGCTGGGGAAAGCGGAATGGAGAAGCCTTTGCCTGCCCAGACTCATTGTATGTGCTGAGCATGGCATCCATGAGTTTCTTGTACTTCGGGACGTAGCCTGGCTTCTTCTCCTTGGCACCATTCTCCTTGAACAGGCAAAAGGCCGTGAGGACATCACAGTTACAAAGCTCCAAGTAGTAGCCATCAGGGTCACGCACAAAATATTGCGTGATCTTCCCCTCACTGTTCTCAAAGGCTTCCACCAAGTTTTCCCTGGCCTTCTGAGGATCAGGCACTGAAATGTTTTGCCGAAACGGCACCTCGTACTCCAGCAACTTCTCCAAGACCTTGTGGGGCTCGTTGGTGTCCAGGGCAATGTGAGAGACGATCAAATCACGACCTGATGGAGCGTTGGGAACTCCTTTGATCAAATGCAGTTCCAAATTGCCCATGGTGAGCCAGGCACCATGTCGATCAAAGTTGGGCCGCTGGATTTGCTGGAAGCCAATGATCTCTGTGTAGAAGGCCAAGGAACGCCCCACGTCCGAGACAATGATGGCAATGTGGTTCACACTCCGAATGAGGTCCCCCATGCCACGCCGCGGGATTTCAGGATCCCAATGCAGGTGAGGTTCTGGTGATTCGACAGGTGATGGGGCCTCCTTCCGGAAGAGGACCAAGAACATCACGAGGCCCACCATGGCATTGCAGGTGATCAGCACAGCTGCTGCGGCCACAGGAAAGGCTTCCAAGAGCGCAACCCCAGCCCCAGTCAAAGCGCAGCACACTAAGAATGCCAGGAAGATACGCAGGTGCAAAGTCATGATGCGCTTCACCCTGAGTCCACCTTCGCAGAAGAGAACTGAAGCCCAAAAACTGGCTTGAGACCGGCGGTCAGTGAGCAAGTTAAAAGAGAAACGCTGAGCTGGCCAATGTCATACCAACAATTGCAAACACCTTCAAAGATGCGCCGCAACACTTTCCCTTTACCATAAGTTTACTTGTGTTGAGCAAACCTCACTTGTCAATCTCAGACGGGCTCAGATGCCTCGCCTTCCAACAGTCGGCGACAAGTTCGTGGCAAAGAAGTTCTGCGCAGGACTTACACCTCTTGTGGTCGCTATCGGAACACATTTTGCAAAACTGATGCTTATCATTGCTACAGTCTTACAATGTCACATCTTCATCTTGACATATCTTGGTGATCGCTGAAGTAGATTATTTCATGCGTTTTGTGGTGGCGTCACGGTGATCATGGTGGGGAGTCCTTGATGTTGTTCAGCATTGTTCAGCAATCAGCTCATCGAACGACTCGTCGTTTAGACCTTTAAGGTGCGCCGTCTGCTTCTTGGTTTCCTGTACCGGGGCAGCTGTGCATAGCTGGGCCCATCACTGGATGATCAGCTGGGAAGCCAGTGCTGGATGTTTCACAATGGGTGTATCGACCAGCAGTTGTGGGGATATTAACGTTAAAGAATCAACAGCATTGAAACATGGTGAAAACTACCAATCTTGAAGTATCTTGAAGCCCACTCAGGTCGTTGTGATATGTTGAGAAATGGGATTTGACGCTTGGTGGAGGTGGAATTCTTGCCTGAATCTTTCAGACATTCAGTCTGCTTTAAGATTTTTCCATGAATGCCAAACTCCCACCTCGTCGATCACGAAAATTGATGAAAATTGCCTGTCGCGGGCACTGAGAAGCCAACCGAAGAACACAACATCTTTGCAAGTAAAACTGTATAGCTCCATAGTGTCATGGAAGTTGATTGGGCGGATACACACCAGATTTAGCGGAGATATCCTGCTCTTAGCGATTGCAGCAAAAGAATCTTACAGCAAGACAAAAAGTATTTTTCAGCGATGCACCCCCCTACAAAAGGAAGGACCGGCAGCACTTAAGGTTACAAGAACCACTCAGGAAACATAGGGCGCAACGAAACCAAATGCGCGGCTTTCATGGTATATGGGTATAAGTAAAGTATAGGATGCAGGACTGCAAGACATGACAAGACAACAAATTCCAAATGATGGTTGAAAAGATGAACATCATGTCCAAGCACCTGCGGGAATGAAACTATTTCTGTTGAACGACGGAAAGCTCTGTTGAATCTTGGTTGAATTCTTCTTCCTCGAGACACAAGTACGTGTTGCTTTCATCATACATACTGGCTGCTTTGAAGTATCAAAAATCAAAGCTCCAATTTCGATTATTTCATAGACTTGGTTTAATTCAATTCTGCCTACCTTCCCTTACGAAATTGCTAAGCCGACAATGATACAGTAGTTGTTCCTTTGATGTGACCTTTGATGTGTTTGTTTCAGATATGAAAAGATGCATAACAAAAACGTTCGTTCTTCTGACCCATCCCCGATCCTCTTGCATGCGGCCCCACCTGCGCCACTGGCAGAGCCACCTGAAGCGTGACTTCGAACTCACCTGAAGCAAAGAAAAAATAGATGGGTTCCGTCGGTGCAGATTCCCAAAGATAAACCAACGTGGATGTAATGGTGACACACGTTCCAATCCTGCTGGTTTTGACCCACAGATTGGGGGAATCTAGATCTGGAACTACTCCGACAGTCCAACGGCACATCCCACAGATTGCAAATTGAGCCAAGGGACGACATCCGAATCCGCTACACCTGCAAGGCGAGGGAACCATTAGCTCACAGATCTTTACGACGCGCACACACACATGCAAAGTGCATCAGAATTCTGTCTCCACATCCAAAGATGTCCACAGCAACACTCTCTCTCTCTCTCTTTTTCTGTCAAGCCTCCTGGAATGCATGAATCTTCTAGGTTGCAGCAGAGCACTTTGAGACTCGAACAAGATGCTTGGAAAGCAATCGGTATAAGGACGACGAGCAGCTGCTAAAGAGGCCATTTCTGACGTGCTGCGAGGGTATGCGCGAATAACATATGTATATGTGTTTGAAAAATGGGCAGTCAGCTTGCGGGGAAAAAAACTGAATGCCAGACATCGCTCTTGCGGGCCAAAAAAGCTCTTGCTCCTCAGCCACAAACGAAGTATAATACATAATCAGCTTGCCACAGCTTGTCACTGAACTGATTGATTCCATCACACACAAATCTCTTCCTCTTCCAGCTCCGATACTTGAGCTTGACGACGAGCTTGCGGGGAAAAAAACTGAATGCCAGAAATCGCTCTTGCGGGCCAAAAAAGCTCTTGCTCCTCAGCCACAAACGAAGTATAATACATAATCAGCTTGCCACAGCTTGTCACTGCACTGATTGATTCCATCACACACAAATCTCTCCCTCTTCCAGCTCCGATACTTGAGCTTGACGACGAGCAAAGCTGTAGCTCTTGCTCAGGTAGCTCTGCATCTTGGCATCGTCATCAAAGGCCAAGGCCAGCATCAGGCCGCTCTTGCGGCGATCTTTGGGTTTCTCCTGATTGGAATGGATTGAAGACCGGAAAGTGCCGGAAATGCGGCTCAGGAAGCTTTCTCTGCGGCCTGCGGAGCAGCCAGCATCTTCGAAAGGCTTTGAAGCAAACATGCTGAATGAACCGAACTTCCTTTGCGTGGGTGCTGACACTGCCATGACTTGCTGCTTAATCCTTCCGCCTTCAAATATTTGAAACATTATACGGCTTGAGTACTCTATAAGAATGCACTGTATAAAAATTTGAGGGGTTCCGATCCTAGGCAGGCTACATATTTTCAGTTATGCCAAGCACATAATACTTTAAAAATTTGAGGGACCCTGGGATAGGATTGCCAAATTCTGAAATTACTGCTTATACGTGAGGTTTGCAATTCCCCTTTGCGGTTCTTTTTTTGTGGAGTGACCCCTTATGGCCTTATGGCCTTTTTGGATGAAACCGGCTTTTGCAGAAAAACAATTTTTCAAGTTCCGAAAAATTGTTTTTTTCGCACACGCTTGGACTGCTTCCAATCCACTCAACATCTATATATTATATGTGGATAGAGTTGGGAAACAGAAACCTTGTTCCTCCAATAACTTGGAGAAAACTTAGCGATGCTGGCCTATGGGATGAAATCGGGCTTTGCAGAAAAACAATTTTTCAAGCTCCGAAACATTACTTTTTCGCACATGCTTGGACTGCTTCCAATCCACCCAAAATCTATATGTAGATAGGATTGGGAATCTGAAGCATTGTTTTGATGAAAGCAAACCTCCTTCCGGGATGCGCACTCGCGACCTTCAAGCCTGAAGATCGACACCCTGACCATTGTGCTACAGGACCCTTGCCTCCAGAGAATTTTGCCTTCTTAGTCTCTCTCTGCGCTGGCTGCAAGGGGCTGGGGTTTGGCCTGGGTTGCGGTTGCGAAAAACAACTATTTTTTGCGACCTGAGAAATTGTTTTTTCAGCACGGCGTGTTGTTAACCTCAGGAATGACACGCAGCTCTTCTTTCTCTATCCACGAACCAAATGATCAGACAAGCCCGGCCTTGCCAAAAAAAATGCAGGCTCTGAACATTGTTTTTTCGCATTGAAGGGGTCAAGCCAGGCACTGCGAAAAAAAAAAGAATCGCGACCTCAAAAATTGTTTTTTCGGTACTGCCCTTGTGAACGCAATTACCAGCCCGGCTTTCCAAAAAAATACTTTACTTCGTGTGATCCCCATCATGACATTTATACATTTTCTTACTGGCAAATCTTCTGGCATTCTATCTGACATATCTTCTGACATTCTATTTGGCATTCTATCTGGCATATCTTCTGGCATATGTTCTGGCATATCTTCCGACATTCTATCTGGCATTCTATCTGGCAAATCTTCTGGCATATCTTCTGGCATTCTATCTGACATATCTTCTGGCATTCTATCTGGCATATCTTCTGGCATATTATCTGGCAAATCTTCTGGGATTCTATCTGGCATATTTTGTGGCATTCTATCTGACATTTTATCTGGCATTCTATTTGGCATACCTTCTGGCATTCTATCTGGCATATCTTCTGGCATATATTCTGACATATCTTCTGGCATTCTATCTGGCATATCTCATGGCATCTTATCTGGCATATCTTCTGACATTCTATCTGGCATATCTTCTGACATTCTTTCTGGCATATCTTCTGACATTCTGTCTGGCATATCTTTTGACATTCTTTCTGACATTCTTTCTGGCATTCTATCTGGCATATCTTCTGACATTCTATCTGACATCTTTTCTGACGTTCTTCCCGTTGAGGTCCGGCAGTGCCCACTGCGATCTGGAAGTCACGGTTGAGGTCCGGCAGTGCCCACTGGGATCTGGAGCTCGTGGTGGAGGTCCGGCTGTGCCCACTGGGATCTGGACTGCGAGGAGGAGGCGGCGGGTGAGGAGGCAGAGGAGGTGGAGGAGGAGAACAGCTCTGATAAAATCTAACAACCCTGACCTGGCAGGTGGGGAACAATTTTTCAGGCTGTAAAATAGTGTTTTTTCGCATGCCTCTTGTTAAATCTGCCAACTCCACCTCGGACTCGTTACCTCGCTTAAGCTCGCCCAAATTGCGCAGATGCGTACAATACATAACTAAGAATGCTCTAAGAATTTGAGGGACCCTCGACCTGTTGTGGTGGAAATTTGCCTGCATCAAAAAAAGAATTTGAAGGACCCTGGGCCTCAAGCTTTCGGATTCTTAACCAACTCTCGGGCTGTATATAGATTGAGCCTTGACATGCACCCTTCATTTGCAATGTACAGGTGTATTATCACACTGGCACTGACGTATCTTGACCTCTAGTGTAATGATGATGCTGAGCTATTTTGACAGGTTCTCCTTGGACAACTATCCAGAGCAACTGAGACGTCATGCTGCAGCTCCTCCCATGCAAGCTGCTACTCATTGTTGACTCTATGATGGTGACTGACATCGATGGCAGTAAAGCACCAATGATGCGGTCCATGTTCATTCGCTTAGCTTCAATATGCCAGGGAGGCTGGTTTCTCTTCATCTACATATATACTTCATACTAAACATCTTCTCACACGCGGATGCATGGTCATGCTTGCACTTGTCCCCTTATGTGAGGCAGCTTGTGCCAAAAGCGAAGCTGCGGCACGTACTTTGAATGGCCTGGGATGGCATTCAGCTGACGCAAAGCACAAAACCCAATTTTCATCTGTCACAGGCTTTCACAAGTTATCACACGTGCAAATTTTGGGAGTCTACTAGTGTCAACTTACTCTCTACAAGTACTGAGACATCGAAACAACACTTGAGCAGTGTTCAAATCTTTTTGGTTACTAGGATTTCCAATTTCCAACCATGGGTTGTGATAATCCCCAATATCTTGGGTAGCCGAACTTTATCATCAACCAGGGCCAGGGGTTTCGCACTGCTCAGCGCGGCTCGCCATTTTCACTCGTTGGTTGGTTCCGTTGGTTCCGCTGGCGCCGGAGGCGCTGGAGGCGCTGGGTCGGGCACCCGCTCCACACGCGGTGGAGGAACTGGCTCCGCTGGCTCTGAGGGCGGCGGGGCTTGGCTTGGCACTGCCTGGCCACTGGCCACTTTCCCAAGTTATGGCCATAAACCATCGGAAACTATGGGAGCTGTTTTTTTTTTTTAAAGGTCATGATGAATTGGGGTTTGGATGGCTCTGGGTGAAATCAAACTTTGAGACGACTGCATGTTGAAACCATGAATGCATAAAAATAGCAACTAACTAGCTAGGAATCCGTTCCAAGTGTTTGTTGTTGCTGTCTCACTGCACCTCCCTAGAATGATGGAAAGTGTTCTTAAGTTGTGGTAAATGCTGCCAATCTACTCAAATGCAGAAACTGGTCAAAATCCAACAAACAAAATGGATTCAAATGCTGCATTCGCTTAACCATTTCGTTCACTCAGAAACAAGTACATGTTGGAAGTGAGAATGAATCTGCCCACCCAATGTGACACCATGGAATCCCTTCCCCCTACCATGGGATACCTAGAGGCTTGTCTTGGATCTATTGATTTTGGCAGCCCATACGGGGAATGCTTTTTCCTTGATCAGGGGATGGGATGGACATCTGCATCTGAGCTGCTTGTTGGCAATACTTCCAGTCATCGTCGTCATCATCATCTTCGGCCTGCCAAGTCTCGACATGGTGACATTCCCTTCAACACAAAGGTCCCGGCAAACAACTCATTGTTCTGACCGTTTTGTACAAGGCGGTGAAGCCAGTTGTATTTTTTTCCCTTCAAATACCTATAGACCTATAGTTATCGAAGGAAGTTTAGAAGTAAAACTTCCGACAGTATGGGCAGATGGAAAAGCCGAGGTGGGAAGAGTCAGAGAAGAGAAGAGAAGAGAAGAGTAGACACGAGACGAGACGAGACGAGAAGAGAAGAGAAGAAGATCAGAGAAGAAAAGAGAAAGAGTCAGAAGAAAGAAGATGCAGGTGCGCGAAAAGGTACAAAAGTCGCGATTCATCTTGTTTTTCGAATGATTTCTGGCTCCGGAGGGTCGAAAAGTACGCTCGCTAAAGCGGCGGGTGCGGAGCCATCTGGCCAGATGATAGATGAAAGATTGCACGCCGTTGTGGCGCGAAGCACGTTTGGAAGTCAAAATGTACAAAGCACACCAGGTTGCGCGCCGTTGTGGTGCGAAGCACATTTCGAAGTCAAAATGTGCAAAGCACACCAGGTTCGGAGCACTTTTGGAAGTTGAGATGTTGGAAAAGTGTACACCGTTGTGGCCTGACGCAAAAAGATGACGGTCCCGCAGCACTTTTGGACGTTCAGATGTCGTTCCGCGTGGCTGGCGCAAGGGATTGTGCACCTTGTCAAAGGTGAGCAATACGTGCGGGTTTTGTAGCAGTTTCAACAGCGTTGGCAGGCGTGGAACAATTGAAGAGGATCTGCAAAGATGCATTTCGCATGGCAGGCGCAATACAAGAGACGTGTTCATCAGAGATGTTAGGATGTCTGGGCGCTGATTTCCTGAGAAGGGTTGCATTTTGGAGCATCAGATCTTCAGGTTTGCTAAGATGATTTTGCGTGACAGGTGCAGCACTTCGTATGACCTGGCATCACTTTTTCGTGGCAGGCACACCACTTTAGACAGCGGGACTGAAAAACGCGAAATGCATTGGTACGAGGCTCCATTTTTGAAGGAAGTCTCGCAGAACGCCCTGAAGACGTGGTCATGGAATTGCAATGTGTACTGATCCAACGCAATGCAGAAAGACGTCCTGTCTCTTTCCTGCGTCTGACGCTCCTTGATTTGGAAATTGTGGATGAAAATGAAGTGTTGCCTGGTGTTTTCAGGCGTGTGGCCAAGCTTCCGCATGTTACCACCAGGCTGACTCTTTTCAGAATTCTGAGCCTTGAGGAACTCTTTCACAAACATGAAGACGAATGCCATTTATGGCACAACAACATCCTGGTGGACCTTGATGTTGTCAAAGTTTAAATGGCGGAAGTCTCGCAGAATTGCTGCGCTTCTGATGTTGTCAGGTTCAAAAATTGGGGAAGTCTCGCAGAATAGCTTCGTTTTCAAACTTGCAGATAGACAGATTCAATGGATGGATGGATGGAACTACAGCTACCACGACAACTACAGCTACAGTTACAACTACACTAGGCTACAGCACAATGACAACTGCAAATACAAATGCAAATATGCTACGCTACAGTGCACTAATTGCACTACACTACGCTAATTACGCTACACTACACTAATTACAGTGCAGTGCGCCAATTACATTAGAACTACAACTACAACTACTGTTACTACTGCAGCTGCAGCTACAACTACACTGCATCACAGCACACTACATCACTAATTACATTACACTACACTACGCTACAGCTACAACTACACTACGCTACACCAAACTACAACTACAACTCCACTGAACTACAACTACAACTTCAGCTGCACTACACCACATTACATTCAGCAGTTGTGGGTGAGGTGACCACTGCGACCGTTGCAACCACTCACAAAAACAAAACTCCAACAACCACCTTTCGGTCCATCAGTGGATTCGCTCTGCCGTCCATGCATCACAACAACTCGCCTCTCCTATAGTGTCCTATCTTTGAAACTTCCGCCGCCGCCTTGCGCGGTACTACTGGTAATAATCACCCATCGGTCACAGTTAAGCTAGGTTATAAATCAACTCATAGTGATCTAGAGGGCCCCATCTTGTACCATACATTTTTCACGCATAAGTCCCGACAAACATGATAGGGTGCAGTCATAGTTCATGGGGATGCTTCACTGCGGCGCTGGTGTTTCATCCCTCAATTTCCAGTGGGGGAACACTGAGCACGACACCTATTTGAACAAACCAACAAGGGGTTCATATCTGTATACATGTTTCTATGTTTTCTATTGGTCCTCCCAGTTGTCGGCTCGTATTCCCCTGAACATATGATAATCTATGGATATGAATGGGTCAAAATTCAATGCCTATCAACTTTCAGATGTCGCGCACGCAGTTGGTTAGTACTGGCAGTTGGTAAGTACCGTCCCACTTTGGGACAAGGACTCGACCCTGGGATGTCATCCATATCTGAGATCTTCCCGTTTGATGGTTGAAGAAATACAGTTGTTGTCAATCTGAGGGAAGAAACGCAAATGTGGTGAAAACATCCTATTTTGCACTGTAGAAGCCCCATATTCGTTGATCAATTCAACTCCAACCAACTTGTTTCTTGAAACTTGGCTACCCAAGGATCCGCATGTGTCATGGCTTTAGGATCTGGAACCATCCACTTCTGGGAAACAAGATCAGAATTTTTGACACATTCCCAAAGGATACCCAAATCCCAATTGATCACCTGATAACTTGATCGATCTTCAGAAATCGATACATGGCTTCACTGGGTCCCAGGGTCAAATCCCTGGTCAAATCCCTGGTCCCTTCAAAGGTGGGATGTTCATCCCCTGGAATTTCATGGCTCCCAAGGTTGGGGCTTGGTGAATCATTGGTTTTTTGCTTCGAGTCAAGGACATTGTTTTCAAGGGTAACCTCCTATTAATACTTAGTGTATCTTAATGTTGGTTCCAAATTCCATCATACGATGGGTGGAAGAAATCCTGCGCCACCAAAAGGATGGTTGAAACCCTAAAAAATAATGGAATTAACCACCTATCAACTGGTGCAGGATTTTGCAACCATCCACAGTATCATAGCATATCATAGCATATACAGTAACCATTATATTTATATGCACCCAACATGCAATCATCATCCATCAGCGCCTCATCAGATTCATCATCCTCTCCGAAGACGGCAGTGCCCAAGGTAGGCGCAGTTGGTAAAGGGCCCGCCAAACGCATCTGGGCGGAGATGGTGGCGTAGCTTTACCAGGGATAGGGTTTTCCATAAATGGGTGCACCCCCATAGCTGGATGGTTTACAATGGAAAATCCCTTGGAAATGGATGAGTTAGGGGTACACCTATTTCAGGAAATCTCCGTATACATATAAACATGGAATTCAAATGAATTGATATATTTTCTTTGATTTTGATGGGTTAACAACATTCAGTAGCAACGATTTTGGGTCCCAAAACATCTCGGGACTCGCAAGAAAAACATATGGGGATTGAATGAAACAGCCCAAATTGGAAGCCGAATGAAACAAGGACAACAAGTGGGGAAACGACAAGCCGAAGATTGGGGATATCTGGCCAAATAATTTCAATGGTTATCATCCTGTGTAGAAAATAAACTGCATTGCTGGACCTCCCAGTTGTTGGTTGCTAAGCATTTACAAACGTGGCTGGTCATCGAAGTACCATTCACATCCATTCACTGAATACCCAATCCAGGCTCAGAAACATCTGCGGGTTTGTTCAATGAAACCGCTTAGGTGTCGTGAGGCAAAAGCAGTTGTCTCACCCCCACTGCAAAATATCAGCCATTGGTGGTCACCATCACAAGATTCGGGATGTAACTTCAAGAATGACATGGAACTTCAAAACTTTCAGCTGACAGGTATTGCCATGGTTTTAGATAATGTTTTTTTTGCTAACAAATCGTAGAGTAGCCATTACTACGTTCACATTAGATAATCCTATACCTATCATTTGTTAGTAAATATAATATGTAGTCCATTGTGTTACGATGCTTTCCATAGCTATGTGGATCACCAATAAATACCAACATCAAAAAAGCGCCTGCTCCAGAGTCGCGCCAGGTGCCCTGATAGGCCGATCAAACAATTGGCTGGTTCGAAAATTTGTGCAGGTTTACTAAACAAAAGCATGGTTTATCAATGATTTACCAATGTGTATCATCATTTTCTCCATTCAATGGCCTTTTTGAGGGTATGCCCATGTTCGATCATTTTCGGACAACTTGGGAAAACAATCAACCCTGAACCAGCAACAGCAATTCTGGCATCAACAAGGAAATTGGGGACATCTCCTAAACCCAATAGTGCCTTCTTTTATGCCGCAGATGAGGTTACAACCGATATGTTCAATGCATTGTGTCAAAATATTTGAAGACTTGACCAGTGGAGAAAATCATATCGGTTGTAAATATCCCATTTCCAATAATATTTGGGTCATAATCAATATTTGAGTCATAATCATATCTACACCATATTGATTATGACCCAAAAAGCTCATCTTAACCCATCCAATGATCCTCCAGGATTCGATTGGGGTATTGCGCCGTGGCAAATATGATCCTCAAAGCTTGGTCGGAATACACGGGTATATAAAAAGAACAACGGCGTGGAGTTTTTCAAAACGTGTTCTTTCAAAGAACAAAAACAACAGTAATATCATATAGATCATTATATATCCAAATACATAGCATTACACAACTAGCGTTGGGTTCATTATCATGTTCCGACACTATTTGGTATGAACATGGGTTCCTTGCAATATTCTAACCCATTATCATCATCATATGTGTCTTCTCGGGTGGCAATTGAAGGGTATCTAAGTGATCCGTGTTGGACAAACACAAATATCCTGAGCTTGCTGCTGCACACTCCGATTTGGTATGTTTTTGACAAATCCATTAACACCATTTAACACCGCCATTTTTACACACTGTGGATGGTTGCGAAATCCTCCACCAGTTGGTCACTATTGGTAACACAATTCAACACTGTAAAGAGTCAAATTATCATGGGATTTTTCCCGTCTACCAACTGGTGGTTTAGGATTTCACATCGCCCCGATTCTACCCATATCTTCCATATCTATCCACATCTCCCATTAAATATTGGGGCTTTCCTGTCAATTTTCCTTCAAACCAATGACCCTGGGATACCCAAGGCGTCCCGGCTGGCGGCTCGCGGGCGGCACGGACAAGGCGGGCGCTGGTGCCTGCCATGGGAGAAGTTCATGGACGTTTCAAGTGCCTATGCAGCGAGTAATATACACACTGCATATATATATATATACACAGAATATGTAAAATTTGCAAATAAATTGAATACATGAATATCAAATGATATGCGCTTATGTATCTTATGTATCTCAAATATATATATAGCGTTTGAATTCTTACCGGAAAAAATCACAGTTGCACATAATGAAAGCCGTGCCTCGCTATAGAAGAGGTCCAGGTCCTGCTGTCAAAGCGCGAAAAAGCACCAGCCTTCTTTGTGCCGGCTCTTTTTTGGGGGATGGTCTTGAAGATTCTGCAATCACCCACCCGTTTTAACTTGGGTAAAAAGTTTCTTTGAATCGCGGCCACCACGTTGGAGAGATTGTCAAACAGCAATTTTGCGATTATTTTAGCAGCCCCTAAAGATTTACTAAAGATAGAGAACCAGTTAAAACCTGGAGGTTGTGGCAGAAACATACCCTAGTTATACCATGTTATACCTAGTTCATATCTTTGGAATTGTTTTTCTAGTTCCCGAGAGCGTCTGAGCGCAGGGTTCTTCCAATAGTGGGGGTCTGTATCTCATCTTCTCAACTTCACACCTTCTCATCTTCACATCTTCTCATCTTCACACCTTCTCATCTTCACATCTTCTCATCTTCACATCTTCTCATCTTCACATCTGCTCATCTTCACATCTGCTCATCTTCACATCTTCTCATCTTCACCTCTTCTCACCTTCACATCATCTACACATTTGCTCATCTACACATCTGCTCATCTTCACATCTTTACATCTTCTCATCTTCACATCTGCTCATCTTCACATCTGCTCATCTTCACATCTGTTCATCTTCACATCTTCTCATCTTCACATCTTCTCATCCTCACATCTTCACATCTTCACATCTTCTCATCTTCACATCTTCTCATCTTCACATCTTCTCATCTTCACATCTTCTCCTCTTGCCCTCTTGGCCTCTTGCCCTCTTCTTCACATCTTCTCATCCTCACATCTTCACATCTTCTCATCCTCACATCTTCACATCTTCATCACATCTTCACATCTTCATCACATCTTCACATCCTCACATCTTCACATCTTCTCCTCTTGCCCTCTTGCCCTCTTGCCCTCTTGCTCTCTCCTTCTTTTCTATTTCTCTTCTGAAGGCGGGGGCAGGGGGAAGTGCCAACGAGACGGCACGAAACGCAACCCTTTCGCACGAAACGAGGTTCGATCGTCAAAAACTGAGGTAAAAGTGCGATTTCAACTTGTCCCGCGCAACCTTTTCGCACGAAACGAGGTTCAATCGTCAAAAACTGAGGTAAAAGTGCGATTTCAACTTGTCCGGCGCAACCCTTTCGCACGAAATGAGGTTCGATCGTCAAAAACTGAGGTAAAATTGCGATTTCATCTTGTCCCGCGCAACCCTTGGTGTGTAAAAGCGTCTGTGTGCAAAAGCTTTTGTGTGTTACTCTGTGTGTGCAAGCGTCTGTGTGTAAAAGCTTTTGTGTGCAAAAGTGTCTGTGTGTACAAAAGTGTCTGTGTGTCAAAGTGTTTGTGTGTAAAAGTGTCTGTGTGTAAATGTGTCTGTGTGTACAAGCGTCTCTGTGTAAACAAACGTGTCTGTGTGTAAAAGCGTCTGTGTGTAAAAGTGTCTGTGTGTCAAAGTGTTTGTGTGTAAAAGTGTCTGTGTGTAAAAGCTTCTGTGTGTAAAAGCTCTTGTGTGTAAAAATGTTTGTGTGTAAAAGCGTCTGTGTGTAAAAGCGTGTGTGTGTAAAAGCGTTCGTGTGCACAAGCGTCTGTGTGTAAAAGCGTCTGTGTGTGAAAGTGCCTGTATGTAAAAGCTTCTGTGTGTGAAAGTTTTTGTGTGTAAAAGCTTCTGTGTGTAAAAGCTTCTGTGTAAAAGCTTTTGTGTGTAAAAGCGTCTGTGTGTAAAAGCTTCTGTGTGTAAAAGTGTTTGCGATGCAAACTATTGTCTTGTACTTGTGCTATATTGTTTTGATACTCCTCTTCGCGACTGCCTATAACACATCTTTAATATATTGTTTTGTAATATGGTGTCTCCATACTAACAAGAGAAGATCCTGCTCCTCTACGCTCTCGGGCCATCCGTCGTCTAGTTTTTTGGTGGCTGTACCAATTTATTGCCCTGTAATTGGCCAAGCAGAACTGACCATTGTCAGTGGATGAACCATACTGGGGACTCATCAGGCAATTTTTCGTTGGTAAGCGACAGATTTCTTGATCGAATCACCCACACTTTGCTGCCCAAAGTCTCATCTGTGCTGGTTGAACAGTTGAACATGTTGAACATGTTGAACCACCAAAAAGGTTCCAAAAAACATGGCCTGATGTAAGGCTGGGAATCAATCATTCCATCAATGATTCTATCCATGATCAGCTCTGATCTCGGTCCTCCAAACTCTGCACCACTGGCATGTTGTTGATATTGGACGGCAGCTGGACGCGTTGCTCCTTGCGTTGCGAGAATCTGAAGGAAGCGGTTTCGGGCAGCGGTCTTCAATCCTTGACTCGTATTCATGATATTATATTATATTATATTATCTTATATGATATTCATGCCATAAGATCCTCAGCTCCACACTGTGTGGTGCCACATCATGACATGGTGCTAAATGTCATTGAATGAAAACAAGAAAAACTGAGATACGGATAGTGTGTGCTGTTGCTCATGATCTAGATTCATTTAGATTCAATTTATATAACTCATCGTGCCACTACTTTAGAATGCTACCGAATTTTCAAGGGTACTGGTACAGCACCAAATCAAGAGTGAACAAACATGTACCGTTTCATTTCCATGCACATATCACTGTGTACAGATATGTACAGTATCCCACTCTCTTCCTCTCTCTTTTCTACTTCTTCTGTATACGTAGATACGGATAAACAATAATAATTTGCTAACCTGAACTAAGGCCATTTCGAGATAGTTGCCCCTTCAAACTTTCATTGCAGTGACGTCGCGACGTGAGGTCGTTGTAATTAACTTATCCATGTATCAGATACATCCCCATTACATCTCCCATTATACCACCATTTTTATTAATTACTTAATGTCATCATGATTGTTCCTTAATTATCCCTAATTCACCAGTCCATACATTAAATATCAACCAAAGTCATCCCTCATCATTCCACCCCCAGTCCATGTGCGAGACATTGCCCACAGTCGAGGAGGAGATGCTCTTCGGCGCTGCCTCTCTGGCTTTCTCCGCCGAAATCTCCTGGTGCGACATCGTCAGACTGGTGGCATTTTTCGTGGCGAATGGCTTGATTTCATCCAATAGCTGGTTGATGCTGGTTGTGATGGATTCTCATCCGTCAACAGAAAGCAAACATGTTTTCTTTTTCTGGATTTTAGAGGTGCATGGATGGTGAATCGATATGCTGAATGGATGGTAAATGGATTATTCATCCACCGAAAGACGGGAATTCGGGAATGCGATCCGTTTCCCAGTACTGATAGCATCTTTGGATATCCTTGGTGGAAACCATATCCTGGGATGACATCTGACGAAATTCATGGCACGTTTCGTATCTTGTCCATGATGGCGTTGCAAACACAGAAATCCTGCCGCTCGTTTGTGTCGACGACATTGAGAATGTCGCACTGATCAACCAAGCCCAAGCAAGGCGGTCAGAGGACTTCAAGTTCCCATGGCTTCACTGATTCAAACTGTGGCAGTCCTTCACTTTTCTCAGTTCATCAGAGCTGTTCTCCTTGAAAGCCGTGGATGACCAGCTGTGAATTTCAGGCGCATTAAGGGACTGAACAAATTCATTGCGTTCTATTAATTTACAAACTCAATGCAACTTCATTCATGTTGCAGAATTCAATCCTCTTGGCTTAATGAAACATACAACACATTATAAATCGGTAATTATTATGATGAATCGGCGGGCAAATGGGCCGCCGCACCTCTGCCCATGGCGGCAGTGGCCGATATGACTCCAATGGGAAGTCCAAAGCCTGACTGCACCCCCAAATCCATTGGTCAATCAACATGGCGATATTTTTTGGGGCTATAGCGATATAGCCCATTTTCAGACACGCCCAAATACTGTCAACGGTGGTGGAACAAATAGACCTCCATTTTCGATGCATGCCATGGATTGTGACTGTGAAGTAAACCATCAGCAGCTCGCACTGAGTGGAAACTACCAGCACCTTTCCACGCCCTTACGAACATAGGTGTGTTTGAAAAGGGGTATATTTGCCAAATGACTGCATGTCGTAGCAACATGTAGCAAGCCTCCCAGGAACGACCCAATCCAATCGGTCGTTGCGATGCCTGGGCTAAGGAGCCAATCATCCAAGTCGAGTCAATGGCCGCCTGGGCGATTCGCAAAGATCTGCTGTGCGGGTCGATCTAAGGACATTTCACTTGAGATTTGGAGTAGATTTGGAGTTGCTACAATCCAATCTAGCTATATCTAGCTTGACTATTCAACTCTTCAGATTCATCACTAGATTCAACTGTTCATCATTTCGTTTATGGTCAAAACAACAATCCTGGCAATCAAATGTCCTTTTGGAAACAAAGGGTTTCTGAGCTGCAAGCTGAAGTCGCCCAATATACATCATCGTGCCACTATAATGACATGTTTTTTACGGATATCCATCTTCAAACATCATGGAAAAGAACATCTATTATCTTCACATAGTCTATATTAATACAATATTTTGTTTTAAAAAAACTTACAATGAACATTGGGCTTCACAATGTCTATATTAACACTATATGGCAGTGTGTCAAAACCTTGTACCCCTTCTGTTCACATCAAAATAGCTGGTAAATGGATGTTCATCCCACTAAAAATGGTATTTTCATAGGTATTGATCCATACCCATATGTATTCATTGCATTTGAAGCCCAATCTACACTGATGTGCCACGTCCGGCGCTGGCCTTCCGCGATTTCCGCGATTCCGGTCCGGCCTTCTGGAGGGGATCATCTGCTTTTTCTGATGCGTCGACACCAGCAGCTGGCGCAAGGATCAAGTTGATTGGAACATAGTAGAAGCAAATGATATATATATAATATTATATATATATATGTATATATATATATAATCTATATGTATTATATATCTATATGATAATATGTATTATACATAGTAGGATATCAATCCATCATCTGAACCAATACATACATAGACCTAAGTGACTAAATCATCAAATTTCATCATCAAACATCATCATCATCATCATCATCATCATCATCATCATCATCATCATCATCATCATCAATATGTATATATATATGTCATAGTCGAAACGAGAGTTGCATGCTCGTACATTTGAAACAAACCGCACCAACCAACCAAAATACAAGGATTATGATCAGAAAACGTCGGTGATAGTTCTTGGTCATTCAAAGTCTATATCTCTGCGACCATCCGCAACCCTTTCATGACATGAACAATCGGCAAAGCATGTCTGGCAAACCATCTAGTGGCGGTGCACCGCTAATGCATGCACGACAGTACCTTCAAGGAGCGGCGCATCAAGTGAACACCAGGAAGCTGGAAACATGGTGTGAGCGCCACATCTTCACTGCCCACTCATTATCACTGATCTGCTTTTTGTCATTTTTCATACTCTTCTGCAGACTCCAGACTCCTTCCCTTGATGTATACCCAGCACCAACCAATAGAAATGGGCCAACAGAGTTGTCCATGCTGTATCTAATACACTGCTGTCCATCCAGCACACATCTCCGAAGAAAAACTCGAACTGGCTTTGTCTGAAAATCCCATATTTTCCCCATATCGAACCATATTTTCCCCATTTACCCCTCCCCATCATGCTCCATTTTCCAAACCCCCGCATCTGGATCGCACCAAAGGCCCATCTGTTCTAAAGCTGACTTTCCACCAGAGTCCACGGCAGCCTGAGGATTTCTTCAGCGGCACTAATAAGGTAAGCACCATCTCAAATGGATGGTTTACAATGGAAATTTCCATTGAAATGGATGATTTGGGGGTACCCCTGTTTAAGGAAACCTCCATATGAGGAATCGAACAGTTTCTCAAAATGTGTTTCACTTTTTAGGAATACCGGGATTTTGATACAAATGCGATGACTATAATCATCGTTAATCATCTAAAATGCAGCTCATTCATCTGGATGATTGTGACCAATGGGCCATTGCTGTCTTCCACACCACAACATCGCAGGCAGGTTTTACCCCAGCCTTAGCAGATTCCTTGATGCTCTTGAGTGCACGAGCCTCAAGACTTCAAGGTTTTCATGTGTGAGTTTTATGTATATATAGATACATGTTTTTATATGTATATCCATTCTATCTCATGCAATGTGTGTAGCAACTGTTCTAGCAATTTCTTGCCCATATTCCAGGGCCGAACATATTCCATGCCAAAATAGCTGGGAAATTTCAGGGAATTGCGAAGACCCCTTTCAGGTGAAATTTGTATTTCATACAGTTTGCCAAGTACTCCTTTTCTTCCGGCACGTACGTTGTCGACTGCACATGTTCCTCCCCAAAGAAGATCCTTACTTTCAACAATTTCTGGAAATGTCATAATTAATAATGTTGAGCTTTCCAAAAATGGATTAATAATGTTCTTATGGGAATTTGTCATCTACACTTTTCAGGATCTCAAAACCCAATTCATAAGCTTTAAGCTTATGTTCTGGCACGCTTGGCTGGCCTTTCATCAGCAGCGCCATCCCCATCTTTCTTGACATCTTTGTGGCCCCGCAAAGAGCTCTGCACAACAGGATCTGGGAACACAAATCATCGACAATCCTGTTTTCTTCTGTGCAAAACAATTCCACCGATAGAGTACGATGCCACCCCTGGAGTGCGCTAATTTTCTGGAATGCGAAAATAAAACAGTATGCGTGGCCCCCTTCGACCTTCCCCATGGATCCAACACCAGTTTTTTCCATCATATACCAGAAAATTATCACATTTCACCCTGCTGATTTTTTTTTCTTTTTTTTATTTTTGGTCATTTTTGGCCAAAATGGCCTGGAATGCGATAGTATGTGAAACTACAGACGTCTCACGCGAAACCGCTACCTTGCCCATATTCCAGAAAACGTGATTCCAGGCGATTTTAGCCAAAAAAAAACGAAAAAAAAAAACTAAAAAAAAAAAACAGAAAAAACGAGAAAATCGCCGAGTACGAAGATTCTATGGAGTGCGAAGATCTTGCAGAGCGCGTGGATTTTACAGTATGTGTACGTCCCTAGCTGTGGAGTGCGATGCCCTCGCTGGAGTGCGAAGAATTTGTGGAATGCGAAGAATTCCGAGTATGCGTGGCTGGTACAGAGACCACATAGGGAAATTTCGGGGCCAGAACCAAAATTCCAATCCCAAAGCCAGCCCAAACTTCCAGGGGCAGGCCCAGTGGGTTCTATTTTTCCGATTTCACCTTGGGTGAGGTCCCGGGGAAGAAACTTGCTAATTTTTACTCAGCCAACCTTTGAAAACGTTACCTTTGACAACCCTGTCCTTCTTCGGTAGACAAATGAGGAAACTTCCTTATCAAAGCAGCCTTCAACTCATTCAACGTCCACAGCTGCTTTGGAACGAAATAGGGGATAGAAAGCTGTGGAGGGGCATTCAGTGGATTCGCCGTGGGCCAACTGTTCCCTCCAGATTGAGCTGAAACGCCTATCAAAGTAACATACCAAAACCCAGGTCTGGAGTACGATGAAAACATGGTATGCGAAGATTTTCTGAATATGGGAATGTTGCCTCTAGAACTGTATCATGTGCACATGTTACATTAATTGTCATGGCCATATGCAACGTTCTCAGGTGGCAGCTGTATCTCGGACATCCCACGATGCATCGAAAGATGCCAAGGTGCTGATGTGCTCTACGATGGCCTGTGCAATAGATCCCCAGACGTTGGGTGATGCAGATATCATCATCGCTGGTATATGTAAATATAACTATAAATATATACTTGGAGCTTTCAACGACCATATTTGTTTAAACAAGTACTCTTGTTTTTGTTGGTTAATTTTTGCGCAAAACATCTGCAAATTCACACAAACGCACGATGTGAAAAAACAAACGCAAGAAAACCACAAAGGCCCGCAAAAAAAAAACAACAAACAAACGCAAAAAAAACCTGGCAGAAAAATGCAAACACCCACACAAAAAACACAAAACACCAAAAAACGCCTAAAACGCATTGAAAACCAAAACGCCTAAGAAAATGTTGTTGCCCAAAAACGCTTAAAACACATTGAACACCAAAACTCCTAAGACAATCTGGTCATTGGAAGATCCAGGTATATAGTATGTAGACATATAGATGTATATAGACTTATATAGTAATCAACCCCCAAAAAAATATTATCCTACAGAAATAATAGTGATTCATTACTGTTCTATCTGTTTGGGGGTTGTCCTAATTGTCATTGATTATTTACATATCCCCAATGATTATGTTTTCACATATATATATATACACATATTGATATGAAAAAAATACGTTGTTTCAAGTCATTTACATTTATTCGTATGTATAAATATATACATACAAACATATACATATAAATATACATATAAATATACACATACATATACATACAGATCTTTATATATATATACCCATCTAATTTTATTTCCAGTATATAAAGATAGAACTTCAAATATTCAATGTATGACATTTACATATTCTATCTACCCGAGGGTGGATGATTGTAATATACAAATACGAATCAAATACATAATGGATATCTGTAAAAAAAAAAAACATGTAATATCATATTGATATCAGAAAGGATCAATCAAAACCAAAGACTATCCAGTCGTTATAGTGTTTTATTGCAATGAGATGACCAAATGATGGATACTGCGTATATAAAAGGATCTGATTGAATTGGGTACAGTAACTTGCAACCCCATGAGATATAAATTGGTATCGGTATGGATCGGTACCGAGTTGATACCGATACCAAATAAACCCCAAACATAGTTGATTAACATCCCCAAACAGACAATGCTGTTCACATTTCGGATGGGAACAGAAGGTACGAGGTTTCAACACATACACATGGCCCACAACTGTCCTGGTGGGTGTTCAAAACTTGGGGGATACCAAATCCCAACAGTAAGCGCTGGGGAAATCAATGAGTTCGGGTTCCACCCGAAACCTCTTCAACACCGCCAAATGGCAATGTCATGGCTTGTGGTGATTGATGCTATTGATGTTAAACTGGAGTCAACACATCATAGTCAAACCCACCATCTAAATTACTTTACTTCGAGTGATCCCCACCATGGCATTTCAAGACATAAATTTGGATATATATATATATATAGTATATATATATATATTATATATAGATATATTCTGACATTTTACCTATTTACCTAACATTCTATCTGACATCTATTTTGACATTCTATCTGCCCTTCATTCTGGCATTCTATTGTGGCATTCTATCTGACATCTATTCTGACATTCTACCTGGCATTCTCTCTGACATTCTCTTCAGTAGGGGAAGTGGACAAGAAGGGGACAAGAGAGGAGTCGACGGAAGGGGAAGTTCCGTGCTCTGCTCTTAGGAGTGTTTGGGGTTTATAGACAACTGTACAAACCCTCAGCTACAAGTCCCATTGCAAGACTCACAGCATTGTTTTATCTGGCATATGAACACTGCGATCTAGCGCTTGAAGTTGAGCAGCAGAACCACTCTGATCATATCAAATATTTAAAAAACCTTTGGGTTGAAACGCAGTTGCCGAGCAACATCAACAAGAAAACAACCTGATATATGCCAACACTTAGTATTGAGGCTCGGCGGGGACCACTCTGATCCTGGGCTTGCTGTCCACTGCGATCTCTCGGAGGAGAAGGCCAGCTGACATCAAATCTAACAACCCTCACCTGACAGGGGAAAAAATAGAACTGGTTTGCTTGCGGTTCAAATCCATCCCTAAAAGGCTCATACAGGGATTGAAAGGACACGCATCTGGGAAATTGTGATTTTGTTATATGTTGTTCTTATCTTGGTTGTATCCAGACATATGGGTGTGTCTGAAAACAGGGTATACCCACAATTTATGGCCATGTGAATGGGGATTTTTTGAGATTCTTACTCCATTGGAATTCGGGTTTTCAAACACACCCACAAATTATGCAGATTTATCCAATTATATCATATCCCATAATATCCCCACTTTACCGTCATTTAAGATCATTTAAGCACCATGTTTGTCTGAAACCACCAGGCACTTCTGCTCTCCATCCATTCACCGCTGGGAACGGCCTCCAATCTGGGAAGGAGCTGGGCAGATTCGTCCTCGGAGATGGGAAACTTATGGAGTTCCTTATCGAAGCCTCAACAAAAATAATTATTGTATTCGGAAAATCAGCAAATTCCCAACATAATTATTATTAAATTATTATTGTATTATGTGTTCTCAACAAAAATTATTCCCTTTCCCATTGGGAATATCAGCAATCATCTTCAGCACATGCAGGGAAATGAGAAGTTATATATATATATTATATGCACTCACATACTTATACATTTACATACTTGTTTGAATGTTTTTCATCGAAATACACTAAGACTAAGACCCAACTTCCACTTTGCCCCAGGCACGACCTTCTGGCGGCTGAGCCAAGTCGCAGGGCTCACTTTCAAAGGAGCCGCACCTTTGGAACCTGTGACAGCTTCGAAGCTGTTCCCATCAGTTCCCAAAACCTTCAATGGTTTTTTCATAAAGCATCACGCAGTGGTTGATAAAATCCTAAAATCAACCATCATCAACCATGATCCCGCCAAAAAAAAAAGCAAACCCATTGGTTGGTTGATAAAGCCTCCCAGATATCACACATAATCGTAATTAATCATCGTCATCACCAACATTTGCCATGGGACAGACCTAACTCTCCCCGTAAGAGGGATGGTTTCAGGCGATGTTTCAGGTCACATTCAAAAAAAAAACTGCAAACCTGTGGGTACCACAGACTTGGGAAACCTTGACACACAAGCCAATGCAGGGAACATAGGGTAACATAGGTTAACCACCTACGGACAATGCTGCAATCCAATCATCCATGGCAGCCACACCTGCTTCTTTGGTTGCTTGAACTGCATCCTCGACACGGTCCACCAGTATTCGTCCACCGGGTTTGTCTCAAAATTATCACCCCAAACGGCCCGAAACATGGATGAGAATTGATGAGTTCATTCAACTATGTAAAACATATGGCAGTGTGTCAAAACCTTGTACCCCTGGTGAACATCAAAATAGCTGGTAAATGGATGTTCATCCCACTAAAAATGGTATTAATAGGTATTGACCCATACCCATATGATTTTTCTGGCTCCATTGTTACCCGGTTACCCCACGTTTGACCCACTCCAGGAATGTACAAAAACGCTGCTCCTTGACTGCCACCTCTCCCCGAGCATTGAAAAAGTGGAAGGCCCAAACCTCAAAAAAAGGCGCAACGGGTTGGGCCCGGTGATCCTAAGTCCATTTAAGTGAAACTGAGCTGAAGCCCATGGATCTTTTTCCATGGATATTATGATATCATGGATCACTCAACTTTGGATCTATGATTCTATGAGTTCAAACTTCTGGACACGGTCAAACATAGTGACGACCTAGTAATGTTGTGGCAACAAAGCCGTTTTGTGGGGCTTGGACGATTTTGTACCCTTCCATGGGAACACCATTTCGCGTCTGTTTTTGAGATCATCATAATCATAATCAAACGTTTGCACAAGTTCTCACCACTTTCACGGTGAAACTGACAAAGATGCAGCACTTCGCATTGATCAAAAAATGAGAACCACACATAATCAAAGCAAATTGTTACACTTCTCACTATCACATGTTATTAATCGAACACACATCTAAGAACATGTGTGAAAATCGCTAGGGCAGCAACCTTCAAGCCGAGCACGACAATCTGCTGCTTCACCTCCCAGCTGCACTGAGCGAGTCATATCTGAAATGGAACATGTCAAAACCTTGTAGCCCTGAGGTGAACACCATAATTATCATAATTGCTGGTAAATGAATGTGCATAGCTATGGCATATCCATCATATCCCTGAAAATGCTATTCTGCTATTCATAGGTATTGAATGGTATTGACAATGGAATGATCCACAGCCATCTGTGATTGGCTAAGATCGTCCCTTGACTGCACTGGATCGTGGTATCCGAAATATGTGGGTCGTCTTTTTTCATTGTGGTCACGGTGACCGATGAGGCCATGAAGACCCAGGATTTTTTCCTTTTAGGTCTAAACGATCTCTAAACCATCCAAAACTAGACTAAAACATATACTTAAGAAGAGTTCAGAATTTCGGACCATATCCACAGCGCTGCATTTATACGGCAATAAAAACGGTTCACCACTGGATTCTCCAGCAGAGCAGCAGGGCAGTCCTTTTTCACGGACTAGTGATTTTGGAAGAGCCATGGCAGCCACCGCTGATTTTGCGACGATTGGCACTACAGCCATGGCCAAACAGTTCTTGGTCTCCTGCTCCGCTGTGGACAAGACCTCAGGCGCTGGCAGGGATGGCGAATTGAGGGTGAAATTCAATCTCATGGAGACCTGATGTAATGAGAGTCAGTAACTTTGGTTTCTGTATCTGCGCATGAGCATGCCATATGCGCAAAAAAGGAAATACTGGTCTGTACAGTATGCACTTAATACATGCATGATCTTACATGCAAAATTACGGCTAATAGTTAACATATTGCTTTCATTTGCTTTAGATCTATATGTCAGCGCCTGTTCCACTTGACCCACCAAGCAGCCTCAACGTCATGGATCTCTGACCTCAATCATATCCGGGTCTAAAGCGATTTTCTCCAGGCCTGGCAGTCGATTGGGGCAGATCGGCAGATCATTCCATCTATTGGGATGACGCAAAAAAAACTGGTTGGTGGTTGACCTACCCATCTGAAAATATGAAAGTCAGTTGGGATGATTATTCCCAATATATGGAAAAATAAAAAACTGTTAACCACCAACCAGATAATTATGATTGAAATGAACATAGATTTCTTGATTGACACCACCAACATTCACCAACCAGGTCATCTCCATTCATCTCGTCTCGCTCCTGCCTGGCACCAGCGTTCTCCAGCACCTCAGCGTCACAGCTGGGGTTGGAATTGACGTAAAGATACTGGCGTGATCGCTCAATGACCCCGCAACTGCCAGAGGCCTATTATGCAACAAATGTTTGCCACGGTCCAACACATTATGCAACTTATGCATGAACACTGTCACATCTGGAGCAGTACCAAGTGACTTTTCTTGTCACAAGGTGTACATCAAAGTGAAATGGCAACACATCACCCAACGTACATTGTACAAATGACAAAGGTGACACAGACCCCAGCCCTGGTAGGACTGCGGTGCCCGACACTCTTTACTTTGTGGAGCTTGTCCATGTCCTGAAAAGCCGTGATCAGTCCCTTGCTGCGAAACTTCTACACACAGTCTTTGAAGAGTCCGTAAATGACGGTGGGAGTCTGTCTTATACCCATAGGATCCATGTATGGTATATATGCTAACATTTGGGGTATATTGATGGTAAATGTTACCATACATGGATCCTATGGGATATAGATTTGGGCTTAAAAAATCACTTGGATCTTGACTTCTAAACCAATTATCCTCTTTTCCCATCAAGAACATCTCTCGTGCGGCATGTTTCAAAAGCATCAGAAATCCCTGAGGTGTCCAAGACATGGATATGGATTCTTCAAGTCTTTGTCTTGGAGTTGTGGAATTTCTACCTCGGAACTCAAACAAATCACCGGGTCTTATCATTTTTTTGCAGCTAAGACACGCAAAACGGCTCGAGTTCCTCCACATTTGGCCTGCCCGGACGATCTCAACAAACGCTGGTTTCCTGGTGATTATCACACTTTTTTGGGGGGGTATGATGGAGATATCATGGGCTATACAACCAACAATATTGACTAGGATCAACCATCAAATTGTTCCGTGCCCTATTTTTTGACAAACCCAAATGTGTTTTTCTCAAATTTGGAATACCCCCAAAATTTTCTATTGAATTGGTTCAGCGCCTTACAAGTAGGGGTAACATGATAGTCTGAACAGCAAACTTGGGCATGTCAGCAACAACCCTCAACATACTTGCGATGTTTAGCACCAACATGACATGTATCATGACATTTTAGCGGTGTTATATCACCACCATAGTTTCTGGATCGCCGGCCACTATTACCCAACATTTGAATACGTTAGGTGACTATGATCATGGGTCAAAGCAATGAGGGATGCCATGGACGTCTGGGATATCCTGCCTGTCATAGAGGATCTGCCCAGATACCTCCATTGCAAGCCTTCGCCTGGCGAGCAACTGTCATGGGCGCGGGGATACGTCTGGGTGATCTTTGGTGTGGATAAAATCCGACGGTTTATATATATATATAATTATTATATATATATATATCATATTATATTATATTATATTATATTATATTATATATAATCATGTTGGGATTATGATTTGCCGGATTTTGGGCGATTTTGGATGATTTTGGCTGTATAGCTTCAACCCCCGGCCCCCGACCCACTTGTGCGTGGATTAAACATTAGTGAACCATAGTGAAACATAGACTATTTGACATGTTCATCTCTGACTTCTAGAATTGAGGTGTTCCACAGCAGAATGTTGAACAAACGGTGCTGCACTTCGCCTTCTGCAGTCTTCCTGCTCCTTCCTTTTCTGCTCCTGAATTTCAGGATGCAAGGGTTGGGTATCTCCTTTTCCAACGGATATATTATAGATAGATAATGGATGATTATCCCCATTATGATGTTTTTTTTTGGGGAATAACTTAGTTTCAGCAAATGGCCATATAGTACAGCCAAAGGTTGACGATCAAAACCCAAGTGCAATACCAAATAGGAACGTCCGCATGTCCTCGTAGAACTTCACATCATCATTCACCATATCCAACACTGTGGTGCCGTATCTGTCCTGAAGCCAACACTAAAAATGGAGCTCGGAAGGGTTTCCGATCTTTTTCTAGCAGTCTTTCAAAATTGCAGTACTCACAAACCCATCGTTTGTTGCCACCGATCCGACAGTATCGTGGAGTAACACAAAAAAAACTACTGTAGGGTGTCGTTCAAAATTGGGGCATCAATGGACCGTTTTTGACCTTTTGGTCATGATGAGTATCGAACCATCCATTTTGGGGTCCAATCATTTTGAACAGAAACCACTTTTGAAGTCGTTGGATCAAAACAAACAAGTCCTCCGCATTGACGTTGGCCTTTGCGTCCAATAGCCGTTCCACAAAGGAAGGAGACCTTGGCCATCCCAACATGCTAGTGAAGTCTCATCCCAATGTTCTGAATTTGTTTGTTCTGGCACAACGATTGGAACCTCAACTACCAAGTTCAAACAAATTTACAAACACAACAGGTGGTGCTTTTGCCTTGGTCAATTCAGCCAAAACATGCCAGAACCCCAACTCACTGATATCTGATGACATGGATCCATAAGGTGGGTGACCTCACTGGTACCTGAAACAAGGTGAACCCAAGCATTGCTATGTTCACGGCCAAGCTTTGGCTGCAAACATCAGAGCCGTAGCGCCCATCTGACGCTTGAGACACACATCCCAACTTTTCTCCAACATCTTGTCAATGTGGGCCTCAACTATATACATCACTTTGTTGTATTGAAAAACAAACAGTATGAAACTTTATTTCACATTAGATTGTGATTTGATTTTTTTCACAGGAATACCGTGCTTTCAAGGGTGGTATTTTCCGGTTTTTGACAGCAACGCATTTCTTCATGCCGGTTAAAGGTTGAAGTGGCCAAATGTCCGACGTAATCAACAAATTGCAAAATCAGACTCTTCCAAATAAGTTTTCAGATGGGTTTTCGAAAAAAAAACACATAACGCACAGATTGATGGTTCATCATCCATTTTCCCCATTGACAGTGTCATTTTGAGATATCCACCATTTTCAGCCAGACCCATATCATATTTTATATTGAATATTGGTTATGTATTTGGTGATATATTATATGTATGTATGCAAATATCATCCTGTATCCATACGATATTCTCAGAACATCCCCAGTATATCCACATGACCATGACAAACCACATCCATCTGCAAATGTGTGTTTGCAAACAAAAGGATGATGTGCATGGTGATTTTCTGAGAGATCTGATCCAAACTTGTGGATCCATGTGGGCCCTCAAAATCCCCACCTGCAAGGTGAGGGTCTCTAGATTTTAACAAAGGTGCAACTCCTCCCTCCTTCCTTCCTTCCTTCCTCCCTCCCTCCCTCCCTCCCTCCCTTCCTTCCTTCCTTCCTTCCTTCCTCCTTCCTTCACTCGCTGCCATCACTCCTGTCTTCTTTCTGCACTGTGGAGTGACGCCAGCTCCAGATGCTGCGGGGCACGCCTGGACCCCGATGCCAGAAAGAATGCCAGACAGAATGTCAGCATAGGTTCCAGATAGAATGTCAGAAAAAAAATCAAAATAGAATGCCAGAAAATATGTCAGCATAGACGCCAGATAGAATGCCAGAAAGAATGTCAGAAAGAATTTCACAACAGAATGCCAGAAAGTATGTCAGCATAGATGCCAGATAGAATGCCAGAAAAAATGCCGGATAAAATTTCACACAAAAGAACGAGCATAGATGCCAGATAGAATGCCAGAAAGAAGGTCGGATAGAATTTCACAATATAACGCCAGAAGTATGTCGGATAGAATTTCGCAATATAACGCCAGAAAGTATGTCAGCATGCCAGAAAGAATGTCAGAAAAACAAATCAGAATAGAACGCCAGAAAGTATGCCAGAGTAGATGTCAGATAGAATGCCAGAAAGAAAGTCAGATAGAATGCAAGAAAGAATGTCAGGAAAAATGTCAGATTGAATGCCAGAGAGAATA